CACACTTTTTCTATGAAGTTACATTGGAAATGGGTTTTTTTTCTGAATCATTAGTTGTGTAGTTTGACATATTCCTAGATGAAACAGGATGATGACACTGTGGCTGGTTACCTGTTACCAAATATACCTGTGTTTTGGTAATGAAACTATTCTGATACCTTTTTGTATTTCGTAAAAGAAATAGGCCTAACTTCTCAAATATATCACATTTTTAATAAAACTGGAAATCATCTTTATGTTGTCTTTTAAACAACTGAATTACTTTCTAAATGTTGCCTAGATCATTTAATAAGAAATTATACACCAAGATGCTCAGTGTACATAGTAAAATAAATAAACAAACATGTAGCACATAAAATAAATCGAATATAGATTTAAAAATTATTATCAATGTGGAACATGCGGGTGAAGGCAATTTATAATTATAAACCTGTGATGTTAATAAATCAAGCACTACTTTAACTGTATATAACAAAAACAAACCAAAGCGTGGGATTTTGGAGCTGTGGAGGAGCTCTTGAACGCCTCGTGTGTGCAGCTGTTGTGCGGGTGTGGCAGAGTTTTAAAAACTCCTGGGAACTTGTTGACAGTGAAGGAGCCGTCACTGCTCGCTGCTTTGATCTGATTTCGTGCTGAGATGTCTTTTAGTCTTCGGTATGTTGAAACCATAGACTATATATAAAAAGGTTGAAACGCTCGGTTTGACATCAGCGAGATTTGGTTTTATAGTTTCAGACGTTTGTAATTTATACTTAGACCCTCCGTTAAAGTGTCAAGTGCATTTTGTTTAGCTTTTAACTGTTAGCTGGCGTTAGCTAAAGGTTTTCACCATGTATCGTTAATTAAGTAAAGCTAATTTTCAGAAACAGAGTTTAGCAAAGCCAGACTAACGTTACAGTTTTAGGAAATGTTTACTGTGGTACTTCTCCAAACGGTTCATGAGGTAAGTGACCACTGTAAGTGTAATGTGTTTCTTCTTATCTTGTGTCAATATAATATACTTTTTCTAGTCTAGTGACTTTCTGACCAGTTGTATGTTGATATGTTTGCTGTTAACAGCAGAGGTGGAAGTATTTTACCACATTTTTAAGGGCACTTGTACTTGAGCTTCATTATACTCCATTAACTTACTTGTTGGTAATGGTTACTTTACAGGTGAAGATTCTGCAGAAAAAACATGACTTATAAATGATAAATTGCTATTAAGTACATTATGCTGCTAATACTGGATTACCTTTAAGTACTTTTGAATGCATTTTTTTTTACTTTTTGGGTTTGTGGTATTTAAGGCCACAACTAACAATTATTTTATAGATTAAATGTTTTTTCATTTGTTTAAAAAAAAGTAATGCATGCAATACTTTGCTCACTCAAGTCAGGGTAGAGAGAAAATCAAAGTAAGTGAGTCCTTGAACAAGTCAATAAAAAGGTTAATAGAGTCACAAACTGTCCACAAGCGATTGAGGTAAATTAAACTAATAAAACATAACAGTAAACTGGTTCTCTCCACCTGTAAATGTATAGACTGTATAAGCAAAATGGCAAGAATGGAGTACATGGTTAACCTGCATTTAGACTAGACATGCCTCTACATGGCATCCATTCTTTAAAGTAATAATAATTGGCAGACCCTTATCACAGTGATCTAGGAGTGCAACTAACAATTACTTCCATCATTGATTAATCTGCCATTTATATTCTAGATGAAAAATAGTAAGAAGAATTGCGTTCCTAATTTCTCAGAGGGCATGGTAATGTCTTCATTTTGCTTGTTTCGTCTGACTAACACAGATCTACTGTGAGGTAACAGACGCAGTCCTGGAATTTCAAGGTTAAGTTAAGTTTTGTTTCTCGAGAAGAGTTGGATACAAATGCAGCTTTAAGTGCCTTACATGGCGGTGAAATAATGGAATAACTACACTGTTTGTCTTTGTTGTACAGAAGGAACATATCCCCCAGTGCAACAGTATGGCACTTTTAAGTGTTTATTAAATTAAATGTGTGTTCAATGATTATAGAGTTTTGTGAGACAATACTTATTAGTTTAGCTTATTTGGGCATTTTGTTTGATGAAATTAAATCTAAAATAATGCTAGCAAATCACCTACAATTCTACATATTTAAAATTAGAAGCTTCTCACAAAACTGTAAATCACATTGATTTCTTGTATATATACTGAAGAAACGGTATACTCTGACAATGACTAGTACATATGCTAAAGTATGTAGTATGTAATTGATACACAGTAGCTGGTTTGAGTGGAATAGAGGTATTATAAATATTCTTAATTACACCTGTGCTTTTCCTGTTATGGCATGTCAAAAGGTATGCTGTGAAGAATAGAGGACGTTGGTGAGCTCTTACTTCCATGTGGTCCAGTTGGCTTTGAAAGAGGCATTCAAAGTGGAAATGCTCCGATAACAAACTAGCACAAATGTGTGGTTGCTCCTGTTTACTCTTTATCTCTCTGTATCACTCTAGCAGGCAGGATGGAGGCGTGTATGATGAAGCCAGAAGCCAAAAGGAAACCAAAGCTGGTGAGAACATTTAGATCTAACACACAAACAGTTAACTAAAGCACAGCACAGTCTGAATTCTCTCCAACACTGACTCTGTACAGCATATAAAAACATCCCAAACAGTAGACAGAGGAAGATAAACCCTGTTATTGTATACAATACACACACATATGTCTTATAATGTCTTATATTCTCTTTTCACAGCCAAAACCTCCCCCAAAGGCTGCTGAGGTACTGGAATGAACTGTTGATTAGCTATGTGACAAAGTTAATCAGGTGTTTGCTTGTTTGCTGAAGTAAATATGTAAGACTTCAAGATGTTACAGCAAGGCTACTCACCAGAGTAAACTATCTTTACAGATAAATGGAAATGACACAGAGAGGTTGGAGAAATCAACTCCTCTGGTGCCTCAACGGCCTTCAGATGCGGTAAGTCGAGTTTTAACAATCTCTTCTTTGGTTTATGTGTACACAATCTATACCATGAAGGTGGTTGAGACATCACTGATGTGGTGTAGGCTAATTATTTACCTTCTACTGAGCTGGTGTGGTGGGCCAACAGTTCTTAAAGTATGTATAAGTAAGTAAGTAAGTAAGTAATTGAATTAGGCTGGTTTCTAGTAGAGAGGATATTTCCACTCTGTGAAGAGCAAACCTAAGAAGGAAATCCATCAGATCCATCCATCGTCAACCGCTTATCCTGCGTACAGGGGCGAAAGGCGGGGTACATCACAGGGCCACACATAGACGAACAGCCACTCAACCGCTCACACTCACACCTGAGGACAATTTAGGGTCACCAATTGACCTAGTCCGCATATCTTTGGACAGTGGGAAGAAGCCGGAGCACCCGGAGAGAACCCACGCAGACACGGGGAGAACATGCAAACTCCACACAGAAAGGCCGGGGCAACCGGGGTTTGAACCTTCTTTCTGTGAGGCGACAGTGCTAACCACTGCACCACAATGCCGCCCCATCAGATCCATATCACTTTTAAATAATTAAATATTGACACAAGCTCACTTTTGTTGTTAGTCAATGGCAGCTTCAGCACTACAATTTCAGAACTGACAAAAGCTGTAAAAAAAGATTGAAGATTTCAGACCAAACCTTTTAAAACAGATTTGTGTTTTCTCTGCAGGAGCTCACTCAGACACAATACTGGATGAAAACAACAAACAATGAGGTAAACTGTATATGCTGTCTTTAATTTGAATTTAAATTTTTGTTTTACCAGACAGAGAGAGAGAGAAATGTGTGTGGGAGGGTGTGATATGTAACAAAGACCTTTAGGTAGTTTAGCATTTTGCAGCCCTGATTCAGGTTACTACACAGAAACTACCATAGATGTTTCCAGGTAACAAGTTACAGCATTAACTATATCATTTATACAATAATACTTTGGAACATAAGGGAATATTTGAAATATAGGCGAGGATGAATTTCAGCAATATAATATGGTAATTACCAATTTTCACTTCCAAGAATGTTAATGTGATTTTGAAGGTATTATGCTGATAGTAGCATAATACTGTGAAAACATCAACCTATATTATCTCATCATTATCATCAGTTTATTACCCCTTTAATGTCACCATTTCAATCGAAATATTGCACAGATATAATGATTTTTTTGTAGAAAGTTAAAGAAGGATACCTTATTGTTCCCTAAATATTCCCATTATTCGCCTTTGTTTTTGGCTGCTTATTACCCTGTTAGATACATTTCAGCCTAGTATTACCCAGATATACCCATTACCCATACCTGTAAAGTGCTACCCAAACACATACAAGAAAGAAGCCACACAAGATGAAGTGACCGCCTGAGCGACATGAAGAAAAATGCGAACTAAAAACCAGTACAAATACATAACAAATACCCCGTATATAGTAAACATACACAATACATACATTGTACGTAATAAAAATGGGGTTCATATAAGACAGTCTATTTGACATATTGAGTACTCTTGTGGCAGCATTCTTGACTGCCTTGCAGACGATCAAGGGCAGGGAGAATAGTGCGTAGTCGATGCGAGAACATATATGATCTGGCCAGTTGCTTAACATGTGTGTAGAACAATAAGGATTGATCAAATATTTACCCCCAAATTATGCAGGTTGAATTGTGCAGCAGGGGAAAGAAGCCCAATACTTTACATAATCACGGGGGCAACTTTTTCTTGAGTAACTACCGGAACCTCTGTCTTATCAACATTGAGTTTTAAAAAAAAATGTTCTGCTGTCCAGTCCCTGGTATGAACACTCAAGGAGCCTAGATAATCTAAAGGCTTCACTGGGTTTGAATGAGATGTGGAGTTGGATATCATCCACAAATAAATGATGTGTAATATTGAATCTGTTTATGATATAGAGAGAATAACAGGGGTCCCAGAACCAAGCCCTGAGGGACACCACAAGACAGTGGAGAGGAATCGCACACAAAGTTTCCAATAGAGACGGTAAAACTTTTGTGAGTGAGATAGAATGAAAACCAAAGATTGATATGCCCACCCAATCATGTAGCCTCCTAATCATTGTTAAAATGATGGTCTGTTGTGTCAAACACAGAGCTGAGGTCAAGGAGAACTAACACAGAGCACTCACCAGTATCAGAGGACATTTAAATGTCATTGGAGACCCTCAGAAGAGCACTTTCAGAAGTTTCTGTTTGCCTGCCTGAAATTTATTTTTAGGGCTAGTTTAGATAAGCCCTCATGCACAAAGTCGGATCTAGTTTGGTTTTCTTTACTGTGGGACAAAGAACAGTTAACAATAGCTAAAACAGCTGGGCCAATAACTAGCAAAGCTTTTAAAAGATGAGATGGTATATGAGATGATATTATATCCAAGAGGCTGGAAGCTTCATTTTCCTATATACTAGTTTATACCACTAGAATGTAGCTATAAGCAGATACAAAGATTTTTTTAAGTGTTTGTTAATATACAGTATTTGTAAGCCATCACTGTGATGAAAACTCTTGTGAGCTGGTCAGCTCTAGTGATGAGGAACGTTTCAGGAAACTCTGGGTGTCTTAAGCAGAAGCTTTATTGAAGCTTGGCCAAGGAGAATGGCAACAGCAGTGCAGAGTGAGGACACAAATCTGAAGGATTCTTCCTTACAGGGAATATTTATCCTTATTACACCTACAGAGATTAACCAAGTAGGTTTCCAAGTAGGCTTATTCTTCACCAATCTCTACATGTGTGTCCTGGGGAAAGCCTCCGTAATATAACCATTAAAATTCCTTCACAATCATAACTTTAATCTCTATAAATGTTACAGTGTACCGTGGTGCTGACAAGGGAAACAGGGGTTTTGGGTCCAAATGCAGACATAGGAGTGGAGCAGGTAAATTAGTGACACAAAGTAAAACACAATGAAATGGGTGAGAAGTCCATAAGTCCAAAACTGACAGTAGTTATCCAAAATATCCAGAGGAACACACAAGGAATAATGCGGAAACAAAAGGCATGAACACAAAACACAGATATGAACAGTCATCTACACGAGTAGACACGCTGGTAAAACAATGAACATGCAATGAATGACAGACAGACAACCACTTAGAGTTATAACTGTTGACAAATACAAAAGGGTTGCACAAGTAATCCAGATATCATTAAAATCGCATCATGGCCAAGCGCAATATCCAATTCATTGATTTTAATCGTTTTTTTCAGTGATGACAATGCAAAAGTAATCATTCCCACTAATCATGAATCACATCGCAACTCGTTATATTTGTCAAAATAATCTTAATGTAATTTCTTTTCACCATATTGTACAGCCCAAAAATACACTATATATCAGTTTATACAGTTGCTACATTACAGTGTGTTATAAACCTATTAAAAGTTTATATATTGCTTATAAATACTAAATAGGGGGACTTACAGTAAAGTGTTACACAATATTTCATTACATATTGCTAATCGATTAAGTTGTTTACTTGAAGTGAAAACTATTATTACAGTATACCCTATGTAGTGGTCTCAAATTGTGCCATAATTAGTTGTAGAAAGTACAGTTGATGGTCACTGAGACCTAACTACCTTTGTGTGGAAAATTTCTATTTAGACAGCTGCAGGATAAAAGGAATGACCTTTGTTCTTACGTTTTGCTGGTACTCTTAACATGTACCTACATTTCTCAAAATGCTCTCACATCTGCAATCTGAATCACTGACCAGCTGCTTGTAGACGCAGGTTTTAGAGTAATAAGATTACTGCAACACATGTAAGCTGTTTCTCTGATTCCCTGCTTTAACCTTTTTTGTTTCACTAACTGTTTTCAATCTCAGAGTCCATTATCAGTGTTCATGTTGGCACATGTTGAGTAATTCTTTTTAAATGTTTAGGGCGCAGAGTCTTTACACAGTGAGCTCTCTGCCAGCACTGAAAGCTTGTCGGAGAACAAGGTGAGTCTTCATAATAGAACTGGCAGACAGATCCTCTCCCTACACCCGCTGAAACTACGAGTCACCCTAACTATCATTAAAACACCTGTGAGACAAAATATCTGCAGCTCTGCAAGTGATAGATATGGTTCTTTAATTCTGAAATTAAAGAAAATAAGTTGTTGTTTAGCTTTGACAGGTTTTCTGCTCTCTGCAGGAGAAAGGCATTTTTTTCAGTGGACTCCTCAGAAAGACTCCCAAAACAGCTAGAGAGGTATAGCACATGCCATGAGACCCAGCAGGCTTCAGTGTTTGTATGATTGTAGCTAGGGTTATTCTGAGGGTTAGGCATAGTTCTGTGGTGTCTTTGCCAACACTTACACGCAGTACAAATATGAAATTAAAATGTATTGCAGCATCTCAACCACCTGCTGCTGCTCGATTATCAGCTGATAGAAACTCAAGATCATTGCTTCTGCCTCATTTCCTGCCTGCACTCCATTTAACCGGGTTCACATGACCAAATGGAGCACAGCTAGTATGATGCATGTTCCTTGTAAGTCCGCCAATGTGCTCAGATTCTGTAATCCAAGAGGAGCAGAAGTTTCTATATGACTAATTTACCTCCTGTGGAGCTGCTCTCTGCTTATGACAGTTTTAATTCTGGTATCAGGAGAATCCATCTGCACAGAAAGATTCTCCCTGCGATGACAGTCTGTCTGGGGCTGCCAACACGAAGGTCAGTTGCAAAGGTGATGTTTTAAATATCAACGTATTATAAAATTGTAAAGTAAAATATTATAAAATATTATAACACACAGAGTGAGAGAGGTGATTAGAGCAACATTCTCAGGTTCAGGCTTCAACACTGTGAGGATTTGCTGATTTTCTTTGGCTTATGTGACAATAAAATGAGTATCTTGGTGTTTTTGACTGTTACTGAAACAAAACAAGTGATTTGAGGACATCACTGTGGGCTCCAGTAAAATCGTGACAGACGATAGACCATTTTCTGACATTATAAACGAAATGATTATTCGATGAATTGCGAAAAGATTCAACTGGTAGTTAGATAATAGGTAAGGAAAGTAGTCTTTAGCTGCAGCCCTACTCATGGTTGAAATATAATGTGGTAATGAAATCTGCTAATGCACCCTTCATTTTTTCTTCATTTAACCAGGTAAAAGTCATTTCAAGAGCTATCTGGGGGTGAGGGTAGCATTAAAAACATTATTACCATAACAATAAATACAAACAACCAAAACACGTTAAACAACTGTCACATGCTACAAAAGACTATAGGTAAAATTAATTTACAGTTATGAGTTTCAGAAGCAAATACATTGACCAAGAGTACATGTTATTACGGTAACTACACTACATTGTATTTCTGGTCTTTTATTTCAGTGCAGGAACAGTGCAGTAGGAAAGGCAGGAAATATATTTATTAACTTTTTGTTAACTTCAAAGCATTACTACACAACAACTAAACAAAGTGAATTTTAATTATACAAATATTTATTTATTTCGGCCTGTTCTTTTTTTTATTTACAGATACATACATTGTATCTAGGTTATGTAGGCAGATATGTACTATATACATAATAAATACCAATGTATTTATATTTGTATTGTGTACATTCTTTATTTTTCTTTCCTTTTTTCTAAGAAGTTACCAGTCTCTCTGATAGTTGCATGCGATGTATTTTCATGTATTTTTCTAATTGATCCATATGGTCCTTGTCTGAAAGAGGCAATGTAAATATAAAGTAGAAAACAAGTAACCCTGTTGTAACCCTCATTTAGAAACTTTACTTTCAGAGAGAGCACTCATTGTCTGAATATGTGTGTTTTAGGAAAAAAAAGGAATATTTAATGGAATATTCAAGAAAACTCCCAAACCTGTGGAAGCTGCTCATCCTGAAGAGGTAAAAGTGTCATTTACTGCAATATCAACCTTCATATTTATATTATCAACATTTGAGGGATGCTTGGAAGTATTATGATAATGTTTCAATTGTAAATAATTACCTAGCAAGATGTCTGAAGCTTGTCTCCAGATTTCCTTTCACATGGACCACTGTACTGTTCATGCACTGAAAATCTGACACATGTATTGTGTGCTTGATTGTCTATTACCATTAACATGTATACTAATGCAAAAACAAAGATGTTCATTAAATATTTTCTACTACATTTCATTTCTATTAATAAAATAACTTTTTAGAAATATTTTGTAAAATGGTCAGGTGTCACTCCAGGCTTACAGGCAACCTTTTCATAAGTATTTAGTATTCCGAGGTAACAACTTTTAAAACTGCTAATCATTTTCTTAATGAAAAATGTATCTAAGAACAAATAGGTTATTGTGTTAAAATCCAAGATGATTTGTGGCTTTTTAACAAAACCTCAGCTGGATTTGTAAATAACCCAGATCATCCCAAAGCCTTTGTCTTGTCTATTTCATCAGGAGAAAGGTGGAGGGTTGTTCAGCAGACTCCTGAGAAAGACTCCCAAAGCGTCTGAAGAAAAAACAGAGTCACCGGTGAATTTCCTGGATGGTGTCATGAGTTTTTAAGCTTGAACACAGTTTCACCAGTTTAATGTAACATTAATCTCTCTGTTTCAGAGCAGAGAGCCTCAGAAAGACCCGTCTGAGAATAATACCACCAAGGTGAGCAGTAAAACGTGCAGATAAAATGTCTTTTAAAAGAGCGTTCACTGACACCAAATTATTTTCCATGAGAAAAATATTTTTAGCAACATATTTAGTAAGCCCCAGAAACCACTAGAGGGAGCTGCAGCAGATAGGGTACTGTGATTTGATGAAATTGATGACATCAGTTGTTAAATGTCCTGTTATGGACAATTGATATTTAGTGTGTTCTGGTTTGAATTTAGGAGCTGGACATGAAAAGTGAAAATCAGTTATCTGGCAGCTGTGAGAATCTGTTTCACACCACCGTCTTGAAGGTACTAAATTCTTTAAAAAAAACAAACTCTAGTGCTCAATTTTTCTGTCTCACCATGGCTGCTGTTGTCATGTCAACATGAAGTGAAACCTGATCACAGAGGTCAGATTGTATGAGTTGATGATATCTTTGTGTTTGTCCTGTTGTGCATTGTATTTAGCTAGAAAATTAAATAAAAAACAAAAATAATTAAAAGCAATAAATAAAATACATTAAACTAGACCAGACTAAAATTAAAATATGCCAATCCTCTGCCATCACTTTTGTGCAAGTGTTTGCATTATCTATCACTACAGTTTACATGTCATAAATACTCTGGATGAATTTGGTCCAGAGAAATTTAAAAACCTAGTAACGGTGTGATCTGATTCTCTGGTTAGAATAATTTTTCTGAATGTATTCACCAAAAATCTGTATTTTTAGGAGAAAAAAGGAGGCCTGGCTGGCATCTTCAAAAGATCAGTCAGCACTGACAACCTGTTTGACGAGGTCAGTGTCCGCCCAGCGTACACTCACAGCAGCATCCTCACATTGTTACACATGACAATAACTTTGACAAAAATGAGGTTGCAGAGTCACTGGGTTACCTAGAGAATCTACACCTTTTTGTATGGTGTGCTGAAGTGAACCCAGCTCCTGTCTGAATGGTAGAAAATAAATAGTCTGCATGCTTTGAAATATGGTCATCATGTAAAGAGCAATTTGAGGTAGCTGGCTAAACCACAAACCCAACTGTTCTGTCTTTCTTTCTTTTGCACTCCAATCGGGAAAAAATAAATAACAAAATGCTGTGTTCTCTCTTCTCTCATTTGCATTTTCACTGGTCAGGAGAAAGGTGGGCTGTTCAGTGGACTTCTCAAGAGGACACCCAAAGCATTTGGAGATGAGGCAGCTGCAGAGGTGAGCATGTGTGACCGGTTGCACCGCTGGCATAAGTGTCTGTGGTGACAGTGTTTGTGCACATTAATATACTGTGCGTCTTTTTTTTCAGGACAAGGACGACAAACTGTCAGCAAGTAACAACAGTCTGTTTGAAAACAGCAACACCAAGGTACTGTCTTGAGAAGATGTTTGTTTTTGGATGTAAGCACTATAAAATTTAAAAAAATGTTTATTTTAATACACATGTAAAAACACACTAGAATAGTTTAAGCTTGTTTATTTTGGTATTTTCGGCCTCTAGTTAATGTAGTTACATTTCAATATGCTAGTTTTTTGAATTTTTCTTTTAACTATGAACCATTACAAATACTCCTAATTTTTACAGTCACTATGTTTGTTTTCAGGAGAAAAGTATTTTTAGTTGCATGTTTAAAAAGACTCATAAAACAGCAGAGGGGAGTACAATAGATGAGGTCCAGTAATGACCCTTTCATATAAGGTTTACATTGTCCTATACATTAAATTACAACACATTGTATTTTTGTGCTAGTCTTTTTTATATATATTTTTTCTTCTTCAGGAATTAAACACAGACGAGGACAAGTTATCTGCCAGTTGGGAAAATCTTTTAGACGCAACCACATCAAAGGTACAACTGTTGTCCGACGATCACAGTCTCAGCCTGTTTATCTCTGTTACACCATTGATTATTGACTGTTATAGTCTGGATGTTTCATATGTTGCAGGAGAAGACCGGAGGACTAGCAGGGATCTTCAAAAAGTCTCCCAAACCAGCTCTGCGCTCAATCGTTACTAAGGTGACCAAATTAACTTCTGTATGGTTGCTGGTTGTCTACAAAAGGTGTCATTTACTTTTTTAAGCTAATCATATTGTGGTAAATTCATCAAAAATAACCTTAAAAAAGTTTAAACAAATTCCCAACAAAATGTTAAAGTTCCTTTTTATTTTCCAGGATCCTCTCAGTGACACAAGGAAACTGTCTACCAGCTGCGACAGCCTCACAGAAACTGCACAGGTAAAAATAGATTTTTTTAATGCTATTTACATGGACTTATTTTTACATTTAAACATCTGAGTAGGTTTTTGACCCCGTGTTGAACTTTGTTACCTGCTTTTGAAAGGGTTCCCCAACAACCTCACCTGAGAGTTTCAGGGATTTATAACTTATTCTAACACTGAAATTTTAAAGTAAGTGAATTCCTGTTTTGTTTTTTGTTTTTATTTGAAAGGATGATCTTGGTGAATTGTCGACCATTAATAATACACTTTCTGAAGCCACAAGCACCACAAAGGTGAGTCTTGTTGAGTGTACTGACGACAAAGACAGCAAAACATATAAAACTAAAAACTGTCGAATATCATAACATGCAAATCAAATCAGTAAATATGTTTTTATATATATTCAGAGCATCTTTAGTTGCTTCTTTGACAATCTCAAATATACAGATTGGAAATGATTAAATAGCTACAAATCTACTCCTATATGACTTCTGTTACTCCTATTAGAGCTATTGTTCCAACTACTACTGATTGCACAACTTGTACATATACAATATAAATACATTTCATGTCTCTCAGTACTGATAATATTGTACATGATGTTCAACTGTTTGGGTGTCCTCCTAAAAATCCCAGCGAATACTCCTTTTTCATCCTGTTAAAAAATAAAACATGAAGCATCAATTTGAGTCACAAAACAAATGAAAATTGAAAAAACAGACTAGAATGAATTAATAAAAAACATTATAACACTAATGATAGGTTACATGAGAAGAGTTGGCATTGCGAGTGAGTTAGATCGTCCCTCTAAACTGGATCAAGTGTTTGTACAGGTTTTAAGCAATTATCTCTGCTATCTTCACTGTTGAAAGAAGTATCCAGATCCTTAACTTCATTATAAATACAACTACCACGCTGTAAAAAGACTCCACTACAGGTAAAAGTCCTGCATCCGAAACTTACTTAAAGATATAATATTTAACTGTTCTGCATTGGTATTGCACAGGTCAGCTGGCCACAATAAAAGGCCTCTTCAAAATGTGCAGTTCCATCACACAGCACAATGCCACAGATGTTGCAGTTTTTGAGGGAACGTGCAAATTGGCATGCTGACAGGAGGAATGTCCACCAGCCAGTTGAATGTTCATAAGCCATCTCCAAAGGCGTTTCAGAGACTTTGGCAGTACATCCAACACAACCGCAAACCACATGTACCCACACCAGCCCAGGACCTCCACATCATTACATTTTCACCAACTACGTTGTTAATGTTTTGATGTGAGAGACCCTTAGTGGCAGAAATTATACACTTGGCATTTAAGTAAAAGTTTGGGAGTATTATCAGCAAAACTGTACGTATAGTTTCAAAAGTTAAAGTATTCATTTTGCAGTAAATTGGTCCCTGACAGTGTTTTACTTTTATAACTAATGTTTCTGGATTAATTACTGCTCAATTAATGTGAATGCTCCATTTTACTGCTGTAGATGTTTAAGGTTTTGTTAATTTTAACTACTTTATATGCTGTTTGAAATTTTTGGCATATTATATATGATCATCATAAATCCTTTGAAAACCATGTACTATATGTCTTAAAAGTCAGCCCTGTTTTTAGTTTGGTTTCCAACTGATCCGAAAAGGGGTTAAATCGTTTATTTAGTTTAAGAAGTAGGAAAATTTTCTCACCGTAAGGTTAATCCTTCAGTTCATCAGAAAAATTCAAATTCAGAATATCCAGATTTGGAGATGCATAGTTTTCACTGGACAGGAAGGGTGTGGAAAATTGTAATCTGGTGTAGTGGAGAAAAAAATAAAATACTTGCTTCTGAGATGTAGTGTAGTAGAAGTATAACATTACATAAAATGGAAGTACTCAAGTAAAGTACAAGTACCTCAAATTTGCACTTATGTACAGTACTTGAGTAAATGTAGTTACACCACTGCTGGTTACCTCTATCTTCATTCGCAGGAAAGTGAGGACATGGAGGCACCAGAAGGAGGCGGGCTGAGAGGCAGGAGAACCATTAAGAAAAAAAGACGAGTGAGTTGTTAATTTTAAAGAAACAACCAGAGACCGGACAGAAAGTAGCATGAGCAAGAACCAAAATGTAGTTCAACAGCTAGACCACTAGGTGTTTTAGGTTACTGTGTACTGTATCCACACAGGATATTTTATTTTTTCCTCTTGCTTCTTCAGTTTGATGTTAAAGTCCTTTCCTCATTAAAAAAACCCTCCTTTCCTCTTGTTTTGTTTAAATGTTCTCAGGTTGTGTCGTTCCGAATCAAGAAAACACTTCCCAAAATACCCAAGCTTAGTCTCACTTCACAGGTCTGTACTGATCTTAGTTACATTACCAGAGACAGGTCTGAAACTTCATACAGATATGGATCAACATGCTGACCATTTTCAAAATGTTTTTCTTTTTTAATTTAGTGAAAGTCTTGTAAAATAAAGTTTACTTACAAGTACCTTAGTGGGACAGGATCAGTCCAAGAGGTTATTAGAAGTTGTCCAGGGCCATTGATTGTTCTGTCTCTACAAAAATGCTTTTTCCTCTTTGTAGTTTGTATTTCCTTTACTTGTTTACTGGTTTTGTAATTATGGAGTTAATGACATTGTAAATCTTTTCCTCTATAGGGTTCAGACAAGATGCCTTTTTTTGAGGAGACCTTTGAGCTGCAAGAGCTGAACCCAGCACTGGTTAGCATAATGGTATTATCAAACAGAAATTCTGAAGATTCACACGTCCAATCAAGACTCTAACCAAGCCTTAATCATAACTATATCTATTTAATATTAATATTGTTATTTATGAACATTTTATGCAGTGTATATATATATTAGATTTTTTTATATATGTATGTGTGTATATAAATATTTACACTCACGCATACAGTACACAGCATAAATGAGTACACCACATTGAAAATTAAGACCCTATGTTTTAGGTCATTATTGTGTTGAAAGATAGCGCAGCGGCCTAGAGCACAGAGTGATGGTTGCATCTTCCATTTGAGTATTTTGCAGTGGATGTGTGAATTCACGATTCCATCTATGACATGCAACTCCCCGACACCTGCAGCACACATGTAACTCCACACAAGAACACTGCCACCACCATGCTATACAGCATTTTTCATTGCTAATATACTTAGAGCCTTGACCTTTTTTGTGCAAAGAAATGATTTTCTTTCTCAGATCTTCTGACATTTCTTTTCCATGTGGTGCCATTTTTGTTGTGGTGTTTGTTTTCCAGGAGAGCACAGTAGAGGTCCAGCCTATGGAGATGGCAGCTTACCCTACTGAAGACACCCCTCTTGAATCTGAGCAGGTGTGTTTTAATGTGCTTTCACTCCTGTAGTTCAGTTCATTTGATCCAGACCAAGAGACAATGTTAGTTGTTGCATTTTACTTCTGGTCCAGTTTGTGTTCACACTGACTTTTCACAAAAAAACAAAAAGGAGTAAGCATGAAGTTAAACAGACTGACAGGTAACTCTCTGATTGGACAGTTTGGGTGATATTATCGTACAAATACATACACACATCAAATGTCATCTGGACCAGTGACTACAGTCTATGGTACATACACAGGAAGGAAGCAATGTAGAACAACAATAACAAAAAAGCAACATAAAAGCCGTCCATTCCAAATCAAAAACAGATTGTTTCTTTCCCTTTTTAGATCCCATAGTCCAGGTTCATCCACCGTTGTCCGTGTCAACTTTGACCTAGCCTTAGTCCAAGTGTGGGTGAAAATAAGGCCAAGAAATAACCAGGCCAAGATATTAAGTAATTTTCTACAAGGAGATAGTCCACGAGTGCACTCTAAATGTTCAGAACTGATTGATCTTTACCTTTAAGCACAGAACTGATTCTCTGATGTGGTAATACATTAAAGATCTCTGTGTACCACAAAGTAACAGTAGGAGGGGATTCCTTGTTCTGTTTTACAACATGATAATAATTTTAAACCTGGTGCCTATTTTCACACATTTTGGAGCCGAAAGGACTAGTAGGCACAAAATTGGTGCATTTTGCATATGGCTTCTTAAGGTACTTCTGAAAAAGCCATAGGGGAAACATGTTGTTCACAATAATTTATAGTAAAGTCATTTCAGTGTGCAGTGGCTTGTTTTTAATTTTTCATTGCTAAATCCTGCGATCTACCGGCATCTGACTGTTGTTACTGTGCATGGGGTATTTCTTTGTTATAGAATATATACATTTGTATAAATATACAGGTATATATAACATGTAATATACAGTATATACCTTATACAGATCAATTATAAGATTGCTTCCAAAACAGTTCAGGACTAGCAAATGGATTCATTAGTAATGCAGCTTTTGAAATCATGCTGAAATCACATCTCTACTTTGAAAAAGTCCTGTGGTGGACCCGTTTGCTTTCACACCACAAATGAACCGCGTAAGAGTCCGCTTGGAGGGACAACAACCGGACCGAGCCAGCTTGAAAAGGATGGTCTTGGTCCGCACAAGAGTTTGACCGACAACTCTCATGGCAGTTTAAACAAACAGGATAGGTGTGATACTGTTAGGACACTTCAGTGTTTGTGTGTTTTAGCTTATAAGCAACCGATACTGGAGGTTGTCTTTTCATTGACGAAGGTCTCTGTTTTCAGGAAATTGATGAGTTGATGGAGTGGTGGAACACCGTCAAAGGTTAGGATGCCCGTGTTTACATTTAATCTGTTTGTTGTTCTGCTCCACCAGGAGAATTACCACTGAAGCCAGAGAAAGTGTGGAAATCACAGCACACCTTACCACACACACACACACCAGCATTTTTACTTTTACTTTAAAAGTCATTTAAAATATAAAAGAAATCAGCACTAAAAACTAGAAACAAAACACTGTTCTAAGTATTTGCTCTAAATACTAGAAATCATATTTTTACAATATTTCTACTGCCATTTTCCAGGTTGGACAGACTGGAACGAGTCCTCCAATTTCCAGGAAGGCAATGAGGAAATGTGAGTATAGTTTCTTTTCTTTAATAACTTTTTATTCAGATTACCCATATTATTTTGGCATTCTGAGAACATTTTTTAGAGCAGAATTATTGTTGGATTTATATTTCCTTGTCCAGGGTATCTGCAGGTCTTGAACGTCTTTAAAAGCATTGAATTTAGTTTCCTCCAAAAAAGACCTAAGAAGAAATTTGCCTCTCATAGGCATGAATGTCGTAAGATGGTTTGTAATTGAATGCAGGCTGTTGAGATGCGTAATACACGTATAAATTAGAAGTGCAATTATTGTGGAGACTGTTTATTCCTTAATGTGGAGTTTCAGTCAGCACCATCAGACGTGTAGCTACAGAAGCTAGGAAGCTCATCGACTCATAATGGGCAAATGTTAATTTTAGCAAAAATAAAAAATACTTATTTAACTTGAATGAATGAATGAATGAATTTTTAATTGGTTAATCCATCCATCCATTTTCTGTTGATAAGCCAGCTCCAGGTTATGTTAATGTCATTAATTATATCATTAGGAATTATTGTTATATACTGCTGGGAAGTCATTTTGGGCCATCATACTAATCAATATATATTTAAAACAGGTATTAAATAACATTTTATGTGGTTTTAATAAGGTCTTAAAACAACCTTAATTTAACTTAACTTAAGGCTGCAGAAACCCTGTTGTCCAGCATTTGTCAGAATTAGGGTTCAAATGAAGCCAAGTTTTGCTGCATCATTTGGGACTCATGCATGTGGGAAAGAGCTGTTTCCTAGACATACAAGCATCTAACTTTAACTGTAATAAATACCCAATCTCATGAGTTGTAAGCCTTTACTTGTCTCATGTGTCTCTCCAGGGTGATGGAGCAAGTAGCTGATCGTGTCTACATGGCAGCCCGTCTGTTTGTGCATCTTTTCAACCAGCGGGGGGCGTCCTTACAGCATCGAATCCTGGAGCTTTTGGCTCTGGCCGACTCTGCAGATCAATTCCACAAAAGAACGGTGACAGCTGCTGTGGGTGGAGGGGTGGCCAGTGTCGCAGGCAGCGTGGCAACAATCACAGGGCTCATTCTGGCCCCTTTCACTTTTGGTGCCTCTGTTATTGTCACAGCGGTGGGGATCAGTGTGGCGACAGCGGGGAGCATCACGTCAGCGACAGCCAATATCACAGATACAGTTCACTCCAGCATGGACCGCAAGAAGTTGGAGAAGATGATTCAGAGCTACCAAGAAGAGATCAAAGACATCAGAGAATGTTTGGAGTTCGTACAGGTGAATCTCACGCAGGCTATGCAGATGTATCTACAGACTTACTGCTGCTGGTGACATTATAGAGGTCCAGTGGAGAAAATAATGTAACCACTAACTTTATTTGATTTAGTGAGAGAAGTTCAGACAGGGTTAATAAATGCCGATCACATGTTCACAGAACACAATCTGTCATCTTCAAATTGTTTGTTTTGTCCATCCAACAGTCCAAAACCGAAAGATAATAACACAAACAATGTAAAACAGAAAAAGCAGCAAATCATCACCTTTGAGATGCAATATGATGATGAAATATGGGAAATGATTAATTTCTTATAAAATGTATTTTCATTTGAATGTTTTTAGTAAAAAAGGTCAATTTGTATCTAAATTTAGTTCCTGAATTTGTGATAACTAGAGTTAGACCCATAAATTGGCTGGACCAATATATGAGCCAGCTAATTGCTTATATATTGTATTAACGAATAAGTCGACCAATGTAATAACAAGAAATGTTTAAGATGATGTAGAGACTGTGTTGCACTGTTGTTTTTTCGTTGTCCCACCCAGTAGGTATTTTTGTCATAATTCTTCATAAAAACAGATTTAAGTGATCCATATCTTATATCCCTAAAATGTTTGTGCTAAAAAAAGGTAATATTGGACAATATTTGTAACTCCTAAGTAACATTTTATATCTTCCTTAAAACTTTTATGTTTATTTATGTACTTAGTTACTATTTATCAGAAGGTAACTACTTATAAGTTTAGCATGAGAATTGCTCAATTAGCTTAATCGTTAAACCGGCAGGTGTATTTTTGCATTGTTAGCAAGCTAACTAGACACGAAGAAGATAGAAAATAGTTCATAGACATGGGCATCACAGTAGTAATGGAACTGCATAGAGATGCTAAAATGATTCTGTATGGTTGCCATTGTTTCTTTCCACCTCAAAGATGGTCTACATTTGAGATGATGAATTGTTCTAATAAAAATATTACAACCTAATCTAACAAATATTAGAACATTGGAACAACAAAATATATGAACATCAGACTATTAGAAAATGACTTTATCCTCAGTTTTAAGCAATGGATAAGACACATGCTTTTGGTGTGAGAGACCCGGGTTCAACCCCCAACTGTGTCCCTAAGCAAGACATATAACCCCTAGTTGCTCCAGAGGTGTGTGACCTCTGACATGTACAGCAATTGTAAGTTGCTTTAGATAAAAGTGTCAGCTAAATGAATAAATGTAAATGTCCCTGCAAATGGATTTATTCTTACCCTCCTTCTTTGTCTTTGTGCCACTTGTAGGACAGTATGGATGCCCTGCAGCAGTGGAACTTTGAGGAATACTCAAAGAGCGCTGGCAAAAAGGCTCTGAACCGCAGCCTCAAGCATGTGATGAAGGAGGGCGGCCGAGCCGGAAAAGCCCTGATGATCAACACCAATAAGCTCATCAGCACTGTGAAGATTTTAGGCACTGCAGGCGGCGCCGCCAGAGCTGCCAAGGCCATCAGTGTCACCACAGGAGTTATGTCGGCCCTCTTCCTTGCTCTGGATGTTTTCTTCCTTGCCAAAGACTCCCACGAGCTCCGCAAGGGCGCCAAAACTAAATTTGCCTCCAAGATCAGGGACGTATGTAAAGAACTGCAAGACGGCCTCCTGGAGCTGAACAAGGTGAAGACGCAGCTGCAGAAAACCATGGACGGCATCGAAGTGGAGGAGTACGAGGACATTGAGGATGTGGAGGTGGAGGTTGACGACAATTTGGAATCTGATCCAAAGAAGCTGGCTGAGCTGGAGCAGGAGCTGGACCTCCTGGAGGAGAAACTGGACAAGAAAGTCGTGGAGGAGCAGAAGAAGGTGAAGAAGGAAAAGTTCAAAAGTAAGAAGGAGAAAAAAGAGGAGAAGAGCATGAAGGAAAAAGACAAGCCAGAGAAAAAGGAGAAGGAAACGGGAAGAAAGTATGCTAAGAAAGAGGGAAAGAAGGAAAGTAAGAAGGGAAAAGGTGAGGGAGGAATCAAGGTTGAGTCAAAATTAGACAAGATGTCTGATGAGGAAAAAGAGCAGAAAAAGGAGACTGTCAAAGCAGCCGAAGATGAAGTTTTAAAAGAACAATCTCAGAAAGGCAGGATGAAGGACCAAGAAACTGTGAATCGAATTACAGCTGGAAAAGTAATTTATGAGAGCAAGCCAGACAAGGTGAAAGAAGACAACGGTACAAATAAAAAGACGGACGAGAAGGAAAAAGAAATTATGACTGGAAAAGAACACAAGGAAATTAAGAGCCGAACAGGCGATTCAAAACGAGAGGACCGGAGTGCAAACATATATTCTGAGAGGGTCAAGACAGAGAGGGACAAAAGTAAGAGCAGCAGAGAGGATGAAAGCGTAATGAATGAAGAGAAAGAGACAGACACTGAGAGTGCAAGGAGACACAGCAGCAGGAGCGACAAAGACAGACCCCACAGGAGTGAAAGAGGAAGCAAACATGGAAATAAAGAAACCAATGAGGAAAGAGGCAACAGGACAGAGAGGTGGAGGAAGACAGGGGAGGACAGAGGAGTTAGTGACCAGGGAGCGGAGACGGCAAAAAGTAGAGATGGGAAGAGAGAAAACCAGGAAGGAAGAGAATCTAAGAAAGAGAGAGGGATGGAAAGCGAAGCTCGCGGAAAAAGCGCCGGGACGAAGATCTCACATCGAAGTCACGACATGGCGACGCAGAGAGAGCTTTCGGAAAGAGAGTGTTGGAGCAGCAGAGAGGAATTTGACTCAAAGAGGAGTCACCACAGGAGAGGGACAGCCCCGCATGATGACCGGAGGGAGAGAGGAGATGAGAAACAAGGGAGCAGGACTAAGAACGCAAGGAGGCTGTATGAGCAAGCAGGGGGTGAGGAGGAAAGGAGGAAGAGGAACGAGGATGGACAGATTCAGAGGAGGGACAGAGAAAGAAGAGGAAGTGACAGAGAGCATGGACACCAGAGCCACCGAGGATACCGAGCACGATCCAACGCGCTGCTGGAAGACGGACTGAATATTTAGTTGTTAAGATATTATCTTTGGCATTTCATTTCAAACATTAACACGCCATTATTAATTCAAGGTTAGGTTTGGATTATTTGAAGTCTGTCTTAAAGTCCAACTGGAATTTAAGAGACAGGTGCGAAGGAGAAGGGCGAGCGGATCACAAGCTGCAAATAAACTCCAGCACAAAATTTCCAGTCCACAAAGAAGTAAATAATATTATACATATTATGAACAGCTCATTTGTAGTCCAGCCGATTCCCTTTCATCCATGTGACGACATGGGGATGAAAGCAAAATCCGCGTCATATAACGTTCGCCAAGCAGCTAGTCCGACACGCCCTCAAAAATAGCATTGGAAAAACACTGAGTCGCAGCACACACCTCTCCTCTCCCTTCCGAACACTAGCTATCCTCCAGACATAAAGTTGTTACTGTGATGTAGAGACAGCGCTCAGTTAAAACTTTATGGATGAAAGATACTTTTGTTACAGGTTAATAACTCACCACTCTGAAACTCTTGCTCCAGTTCATGTTGCCAAGCTGGTAAGGGGAACACATACAGCTGAACCGAAGCCGTGTTTACTGACTTTGGCTAGCAGTCCTTAACTAGGAACTGCTTATGTGCAACTCTCAACAAAGATCATGTAGAGGCAAGATTTATCACTCCATAGCTAAAACGAAACGCATAAGGTGAAAAGAGGAGCTGCAGCAATGTGCAGTATGACAAAAATATGGTGTTTTTTGAAAATTAAACCATGTAAACCTGTTCTGGTACAACCACTAAATAAGATTTTGAACCTGATACCAACTCTTTAACTAATATATGCAGTTAGAAAAGACTAAAGAACGGGCTGGTTTACGGACTTTCAAAACACTGACAAACAAAAACATTGCTGTAACGGGTGGTCACCACTGGTGTGCGACAGAGAGCAGAACCCAGAGTTGATTAAAGGTCTACACTACTGCAGTATCATCTAGTGCAGCGGTTCCAAACTAAGGGTACTTGGCACCACTGCAGTTGCCAGGCTACATGTAAAACATATTGAGTAGCTCAGCTAATTTCACACAATAGAAATTACAGGAAAAGTTGTAACACCTGAACAGTACATGAAAACAAGTTGGCAAGTGAGCACAGACGTTTAAATGGTTGAGTGGTTGAAACATACAGCTTCTGAAACCCTAACAACTCGTAACAATACGAATGCAAACTTGAGCAATACTATAATTAACAGTATTTACTAGGAATTTGAAAGGTCTAGGGACTATGAAATAAAATTTAATTTCATCTGACAGGGCTGTGGGGAAACATTAGACAATGTTTGGGAATTGTCTAGTAAATTGTTTTTGGAACACAACTTATAGTAGCTTTAAAGTTTACTATGATTAATTTTATGCCCTGTGCTTTGACATCTTTAAGTTACTTACTGAAGTACTGTACTTAGGTCAATTGTTTAGGTGCTTTACTTGAGTAGTACCATACTTCACACTGTACTACATTGTTTTATACCTTTTGTTACTTTGTATGTTTATATTTTACCAACAAAATCGACTTGACATCAACTTCTACATAGAACTACCAAACAGTAAAGTAGTTAGTCAGCTACAATAGTAAAATGCTAGTAATAATATCCATCCATCCATCGTTACCGCTTTTCCTGTGTACAGGGTCACGGGGGCAAGTAACAATAATCCAGCATAATAATAAAAAAATAAAATAAACACTCAACAGGGGACATTTTTCTGCATGATGAGTGCTTTAAATTTTGATACTTTAACATGTTGCTGATAAAACCTCTGAATACAGGGCTTTTACTAGGTACTGCTGATCTTGATACTTCTTCAACCACTGGTAATTTGCAAATATTTTGAAAAGACCTTTAAAAAATAAAGATTAGACTACTTTTAAAATATGTACACACAGGATGAGGTAATAAATAGAAGAATAAAAAATGAAAGTTAAACCAATAACCCAATAGAACTTCTCTTTACTTAATTGCCCACTCTGGCGTTTTCACTTGTTCTTTTTGATTAGACCTCTTGTCGGTCTGAAGTAGGGCTGCTTAAGCATTACACACCCTTACAGGCCTGTGGTGAGGTCTTACTGAAAAATTGTGAACACTGCCAAGCGTTTACTATAGTAGTGTATGAGCTTTATTGCAATTAATTATTCTTTTTTTAATTAGAACTCAATAGTCGCAGAGGACAGGGAAGTGAAGTTGTTGAACAGAAGAATACAAAAGGAACAAACCAACATTTCCAACAAAGGTAATGCTGATATAATCTTATTTTAATCTGTTCTTACCTTCTTTGCATTCCACTGACTCAGCAAGTCTTAATACCTAAAGGCAGAGTCTTCCATATTTTGGGGCTGTGGCGGCTAAAAGCCTCCCAAAGGTTTTTGTGGTGACCTTGGGAATAGTTAAAAGCGCAGCTGTGGAGGATATTAGGGTTTATAAAGCGATGAGGAGTCTGTGATATAAAAGAGGGTAAGGCCAATTTGTGCCTTAAAAACTAAGAGAAAGATTTTAATCTGTTCTAAAATAAACAGGGAGCCAGGGTAGGTTGTGTGAAACAGGAGCTAGATGATATCTCTTTTTAGTTTAAATTAAAACCCTGGCAGCAGCACAGTCTGTAGTTTTGCAATAGCTGTTTTTGGTAGGCCAGTATGTAGATTGTTACAGCAGAAATGACTAACTATGACCTGGGTGACTGAGAACCTTCACAGGCAACAAGCATCAACCAGCTTTTCAGCGTCTTGCTTGCTCAGCAGAGGTCTCACCTTCGCTATCTCACACAAATGATTAAAGTCAGTTTTGGTCAACAAATTAATATTGAATTACAAACACAAATAAAGTCAACTTCAAACAAAGGTTTCTGAGAGATTTCAGTCTGGACCGACCAACTGACTGAAACTAACATCCCTAGCATAGCTAAAAGCAAGACTAAGTCATGCTAACGGGTCTGTTAGGGTTTACTTGGGTACATTAGAACTTAGGGCTCAGTGCTCTGCATGCTAACATGCTCACAATGACAATGCTAAGCAAGTGCCATGTTTTTGTCTGTCTTACATTAGTGTGCTAACATTTGCTAATTAGCACTAAACAGAACGTACAGCTTGGTCATAATCCAAAGTATTGGTCAAAAAAGAACTTGACCTTATGGTGGTGCAAGATGAAAGGTCAGGATCACTAGAGTTATTGCAACTCATCCTGAGCAGGACATGAATGTCTGTAACAAATATGACCGCAATTCATATAGTTATTGAGATATTTGGATACAAATGTCAAACTCATGGTTCCAAGAAAAGTTAAGAGATCATCAAAGTAAGATTTATCCTCTGGGTACCATGAATGTTTGTATAACATTTTATGGCAATCCATCCAATAGCTGCTGAAATATTTTAGTCTGGCGATTGGTGGCCTGAGAGTCCCATACCAGTGGACTTGAGCATGGCTAAAAACAATCCCACAGATGTCCATTATATTTATATCTGTATCTGTAAGTATAAACCCCACTGACATTTCAAAGTGATCAGTATTGCACATAGATCAAATGTACATAATTATGAGTTATTATATAAGTTTTATGGTTCATTAAAGTCGAGTTGAGTCCCATTTTATTCTGTTATTTAAACTGGCCTTTGTCTCGTCGTGTGTCTATTTTGAGGTCCGTTATTGCTTGTAAGTTTTATTGACTAATTGATTTACTGTTCTCACGTTATTGCATATGTTATAATGTATAATGTTTTTAACTTTTTGATGGGCTTATTTCTAATATTTTACTCTTGTAAAGCACTTGATGACCTTGAGCTGTGAAATGTGCTAAATAAACTTCACTTACTTAGTTTTATAGCACCGTACAAAATATATAAGTATATATACTGCTCAAAAAAATAAAGGGAACAGTAAAATAACACATCCTAGCTCTGAATGAATGAAATAATCTCATTAAATACTCCTTTCTTTACATAGTTGAATGTGCTGACAACAAAAATCACACAAAAACTATCAATAGAAATCAAATTTATTAACCCATGGAGGTCTGGATTTGGAGTCACACTCAAAATCAAAGTGGAAAACCACACTACAGGCCGACCCAACTTTGATGTAATGTCCTTAAAACAAGTCAAAATGAGGCTCAGTAGTGTGTGTGGCCTCCACGTGCCTGTATGACCTCCCTACAACGCCTGGGCATGATCCTGATGAGGTGGCGGATGGTCCCCTGAGGGATCTCCTCCCAGACCTGGACTAAAGCATCCGCCAACTGCTGGACAGTCTGTGGTGCAACGTGGCGTTGGTGGATGGAGCGAGACATGATGTCCCAGATGTGCTCAGTTGGATTCAGGTCTGGGGAACGGGCGGGCCGGTCCATAGCATCAATGCCTTCCTCTTGCAGGAACTGCTGACACACTCTAGCCACATGAAGTCTAGCATTGTCTTGCATTAGGAGGAACCCAGGGCCAACCGCACCAGCATATGGTCTCACAAGGGGTCTGAGGATCTCATCTCGGTACCTAATGGCAGTCAGGCTACCTCTGGCGAGCACATGGAGGGCTGTGCGGCCCCCCAAAGAAATGCCACCCCACACCATTACTACACACTAGAGTGAAAGCACCGCCAGCATTCAAAAGTGACCAAAACATCAGCCAGGAAGCACAGGAACTGAGAAGTGGTCTGTGGTCACCACCTGCAGAACCACTCCTTTATTGGGGGTGTCTTGCTAATTGCCTATAATTTCCACCTGTTGTCTATTCCATTTGCACAACAGCATATGAAATTGATTGTCAATCAGTGTTGCTTCCTAAGTGGACAGTTTGATTTCACAGGAGTGTGATTGACTTGGAGTTACATTGTGTTGTTTAAGTGTTCCCTTTATTTTTTTGAGCAGTGTATATACTGTATATATGACAAAGACACACACACACACACACACACACACACACACACACACACACTATTACACACTGATCAACTGTAAGCCAGTTCATTGTTTCATAAAAGGATACAGTCATCATCGCTCTGTACAGCGCTCACACGCATGTTCTTCAGCAAATACTTCTTTAGTTACATTATTGTCACCTCACCCTGTCTTTCTTGGTATTTGTTCTGTCTTTCTTTACTATAAACAGACGCACACTGCACTGGGCATAGCTTATTTGGGGTGTGTATTTCGATTAAATAAATCTAGAGAACAAATAGAATTACCAGAGAGACGTCAATATGGTGACATCAAACATGTTTGAGGGATCTCTGTTGCTGTTACTTGGACCTGTTTTAAACTAAATGTCATTAGGTGCTTTTCACATTTTCATCATTAAGATAAAAATTAGTGTGTCGACAGGGATTTATGCTACACCTGAAGTAGAGGCTAAGATGGGGGGGTCACATTATTAATATAAACAACTGATCATAATTATTCAAGTAAATTTTATAGGAATTCAGAGTAATGTTTGGAAATTCTCTTTTTCATACCTATAATAGATTTCAAACTGCAAAGGAAAAAACAAAAGTATGGCGGCAGTGACATTCCTCACAGGTCTGCTCATTGGAGCGAGGAAATCCAAATATGGGCTGAGTAGGGGCAGAGGGTGTAGTCCAGTCAGAGTCATTGTCTATCATGCTTCTGACTGACAAATCTATTTTTAAACTGGAATATTTTTTCACCATTAGAAGAAAAAGTTCACTTCAATGCTAGTTTTCATGGCGCTATTAGAGGTACTAAAGCCGCTATCCATTCAAAACATAGTCGGACTTGCCACCAGCAACATTGCTCAAACAATTGCTTTGTGTATCATCAGCTTTAGAGGTCAAGTCTTTTGTATTTTATTTAGAGATTTGGGGACTTTTGGAGGCTGATTCCAGTATTTTTAGAAACAACAACAAATGAAATAAATTATTTTGTATTTCCCCACCAAAATGTCATTCCTACCATTGAGTGTGTTTACATGCAAACTTGTATCCTGATTATGAAAAGAAGATCCTGGTTTCAGAAGCCTGGATTGTTTATTTGTTTGTTTTTTTGAGAAACTGGATATGCTACCTGCAGTAGGCTACTCTGATAGAAACCAGGATTGTTGTATTGTTATTCGTTTAACCTTTATATTTAAGCAGGGGGGGGGAAACAGACCCACTGAGATTTTTAAGGGCGCCCTGGCCAAGAAAGGGAGCAGGACCTCAAGTCTAACAGTACAAACATGAAACAACAGTACAAAACCCTTTTAGCTACAAAAGCAACAAGACGCAACCCACTATCAAACCAGTACATTAACACTTCAATCAGTAGAATATATCAATGTAATGCCTGCTTGTTCTTACTACTTTGGAGGAGTTCCAAGCTGATGGTGCACAGCATGACATGGTAGTTTTTCCCAGCAATGAAGTCACTGTGGGAACTTTTAAAAGCAGAAGCCTGCTAGACCGGGTATGATGACTACTGACCTCAAAGCTGAGGAGGCTATCAATGTAATTTTGTAATTTGCAAATGAGTGGCTTACAAATAAAATACATAAATGGAGCTGTCTCTGCATAGCTAATGATGGCCATCCTACCATGTCATATATTCTGCAGTGATGTGTGATTTAGCAAGTGTAATAAAACACAACAATGCACGGTATGCAGAATCAAGTTTCTTTAACAATGATGAGACCACATGTGAATACAGCAGGTTCCCGTAATCAAGTACTGATAAAAGGTAGACTGGACAAGTTTCTTCCTCGCTTCATAGGGGAAACCACACTTGTTTAGAAAATAAAAGCCAAGTTTGGGCCTTTAAAAAAAAAAAAATGTGTATATTAAAAGCTAATTTATCGTCCAGCCAAATACCAGAATATTTGTATACAAAATATACAAACATACAAACGCCACTGACATTTCATACATAGATCGACTATACATAAGGCCATTATGATGACATGATATGTTTTATGGTTCATTAAATTAAGTATATATTATGTGTTAGACACTTACTTCACAACTGTGAATGAGCTCTTTATGATGACTCCATTTCATCTTTAACTCAAGGTTTCATAAAATTAAATCATGCCAGTCTGCAAACAGCACTCACACGCACTTTCTTCATGAAATGTGTCTCTAATTGCATTATTGTCACCTCACCATCCCTTTCTTGGTATTTGTTCTGGCTTTCTTTACTATAAACAGGCACACACTGCTGATCAAATGATCAGAACTAGGATAAAACTCAATCCTGGGATACTAGTGAGCATGTACTCAGTGTGGAGAAACAGAATTTAAACCTTGCAGTAAAATAAAATTTACAGAAAATATAATTACCACATTTCCACAATATAAGAAACTCATTTGATTGCATCTTATTTATAGGACAACACACAATAAGCATATAGTAGCCCTATAGGCAGCATACATTTTAAACTACATTTAGTAGTAGCCACAGCAGCACATAACACTTTTCTAAAAAATACATCTAGAGGGGTTCAAATCAATGCATTCTTCACACCATGGACCAACAGCTTTCTTTTAATTTTTTGACGTTATTATATTTTTCGGCCTATTTATAGAGAGGAGACAGACAGGAACCGGGTGGATTGTGTTGTTGCATGCTGATGCAGCTGGAATCAAACCAGCTACTTTGCAGTTCTGTGGCATGCACTGTAACCAGTCAGCTACCAAGGCACTCCCATTAACAGCTTTTCCATTTCTACTTTGATAAAGTACTGTACTAAATGTACTGTACTAGCCTAGCCTAGCTTTCAGAGCTTTGAAACGCATTTCATGGTCTTCTTCAGTGACTGGTAAAACCTAGAAAATGGACAATAAAGAAGAAATAAAAACAGGTTCTTTCTCTCCATATTACATTTGGAGTAAATGTCAAGGGTGCGTGTCGGTAGACCAATTGAGTGATCAGATCTTGACCTTTTCCATCAATCCATCCATTATCTTCCGTGTGCCCGGGTCGGGTCCTGGTGGCAACAGGCTAAGCAGGGTATTACAGATGTCTTGACATTTATCACAGTAATAAGATAACAAAGGTTTCTCCCTGATGTCACAAAACAGAGTCTTTGTTTGTAAAAGAAAGTCCTTTAGGGAATAATCTTAATTTTCCAGAATATTCTCCCTTCAGCAAGGGTGCACCCTGCTTTTAAAAAAACAAACAAAACTAACAACAAAAGAAATTTGATCAGTCTGAATATCAGGAGAGAGTTAAGAGTCCTCTCACTTTTGACAGGAGTATAATAGCATATAACAGGGACGAACAGGAAAACCTAATCTGTTTTGGTGTGTTAAATCTAGTAATATTGCACGATGGCACAGTCAGTGTACTTCAAAATTAACCTTATCCAACTTTCTGGCTTGACATAAAGTAACATCACAAAATGTAGACAGCTCATTTACTCCATTAATTTCATTCCCATTTCACGCTCAATTACCTTGTATATTTATGAAAGAAAAGCAAAATCCCCTGAAATTGCTGACTTCATGTTTAACGTGCAGATAATTGAGTGAATTCTATAAAAGAAAACATTTAAAACACCTAGTAACCTCAGTTATAACCAATAGTGAAATCTTTTTTATTTCAAACTGATTTCATAATAAAGTCTACAAAGTCTTTATCACAGATTATATTTTAGGTTGATAGGGCTATCTGTTATAATAATATAATATAAACTTTGAACTACAGTAAGCTCTTGGATAAATACAAAATGGTGGTGCTTTGTGGGGACAACAAATCCTGTTCATTAAACCAGAAACTCAACAATGACGAGGCTCGTTTCAGTGAAAGAGCTTCCTGAAGTACACACCTTCCAAACAGGTAGTCATGTGAAAATCTTCCCAGGCCACGCCTCCTCTTCAGGATGCTAGAAAAAGCCCCCCTTCATCACCACCATCGAGCACCAGCGCAGACGTTTACTGACTTAAATCCATCCTGCAGGGATCAATTGCACACAGAGGAACAGAAACAGGTCAACGTAACTTTCCTGCAGCTCAACATTTTACTTTTACAGCTCAGGTAAGAAAACCTGATCAAATCACATTGGATTACTTTTAATAATTTATTTACATTATTTTAAGTTTAATAAGGTTAATTGCAAGAAATTTTATGCTTTGAAAGACTAATTCAATCTCTTTGCTGTTTTGGGAGAAGTGGAAAGTTTTTTGTACTATACAAAATATGATGATTTAAGAGAATTCATTTTCCATGAAATAGCTTGACAAAACTGAAATATTCCGGTATAGAGATGTTCAAAAAATGAAGATGTTAAAAAGTGTTTAAGTTTGCTATCTTTGTCTCTAAAGCCTGGAAAATAACACAATATAGACTATTTAATTAGTGTTTATTCTGATTTCTCCTATTATAGTATCTTGGAGAACTACATATTATAGTAAATATAGAATAATATTTTGTGCCAGTGATTTCAAGTTGTAAAACTAAACGCAACACTCTGATATACAGCTTATAGGAATATGGTGGACATAGCTGTATGCATGACAATAATAACAACTTCATTCATTTAATGTAAATTCTAGTCTATGAATACTATCTGTTCACTTTCACAACATCTTTTCACTAAACCAAATGTCACAATCATACACACATTATTATTGGGCTTAAATGAATGATTCATGGAGTTTGAAATTTGTATGAATATAACTAGTAACTTCAGATGTGTTGTTTCTGTTATCACACATATATACCAAAAACTGTTTTAATATCTAGGTCTACTAGTGATCAAAGGGCTGTCAAATCAGACCTTATTTGTTAGATCATTTTAATATTAACTATATTTCTGGTCATTTACTGTGTTGTCCTGTTAGGAATGGAGCGAGGATTGATCCTGTTGGTTGCTGCATTGATGGTTTATGTTGCACCGGGTGTCCAAGGAACTTTCTCTTTTGCCAATAACACAGAGGTTGGATTTATTTTACTTTTTCACCTCTCAGTCTAAATACCTGCTTGACCTTCATACTTAACTAAAACATTTAAGTCTAACGCTCACTTTCAAATTTTTAGTTTCAGAATTGAAAATTCTTCAAAGCTGTTATCGCTGATATAATTTTTTGTTAACTATGTCCCATCTGTTTAGTGCAGTACAGTGTTTAGTGTATTCACAGAGCAGCAGAGGCCAAGATTTTCTGACTTTCAGGCCATAGTATGGATCAAGATGATAGACTGTATGACAGAAGTGGACCTATAGCCACCGTGATGTCACCCATTGGTTTGGATTACTGTTTTGAAGCCTCAAGGTCAGCTTTTTGGCCATCTTGTTATTTTGGGACCGGACGTGAGCATATTTGGGCAAGAAGGTGGAGCTAGTTTGCTTGGTTTGCAAAGTGCATCCAAATTCATGTTGTGCAGTAGATACTTGCCACAATTATCCTGACTAAAAGGTCGCCACGGTAGCACTCACAAGATTGCCACGCCCTAAAGCATACCCTGCTTTATTGTCTATTTTCCTCTAAATGGGACCATACTTTACAAAATTAACATCATATTTTCGGCTCTTCATATACGTATGGGTGATGTCACAGACACTACGTTCATGTTTTATACAGTCTATTGTCTGGATCCTACACTTCCCATAATGCAACTCAATTGTATCTATAGTTGACATTTCAGATTTTAAAAAGCTTCTCCAAAGCTTATACAGGGTGAGTAGTAGTCTAAGTCATTTGTGGGCTTTACTGAAGTTCTTGTGTAAAATTGGTGGCCCCTTTAACTCAGTGAAGTTCTCCAGATAACTCATTCAACCTGCTTCTTGGAGCTGCCACTGCCTGATAAAGTCGATATAACACAATGTCAGCATTTTTACACATCAGCGTGTATATGTGTGTCTAACAGGTGAACATTACCATGGCTGGTTGTGGCGTCACTAAATTGTGTGTGGAGACACCATTGAACTGTGATCCTACTGGAAAAAACAGCTGTCTGTTTGTGTCTGTGGTCGCCAGCAAATCAGTGGCTCCCACTGACCTGTCGTTCGAACTTAGAGGAGACTCCATGGGATACATTGCAGTGGGACTCACTGCGAAACCTTCTGAGGTAAAACACACACACACACACACACACAATTACTAGTGGAAAAACTCAGTTATGTAAAAGCATATTTTTATTAAATTGGACACACTATTCTAGCACTTTTCTTTTAGCAGGAAGGTCACATACCTGCCCAAATGTACAGTCGATTGTCCCACATCAAGGGCTGGGTTCTCCAAAGGACTTAGCCAACAAAGATTTGGCCATCCAGTGGACCTTAAGCCAGGCCGAACATCCTCCTCTTCCCCAAACAAGACAGTGTTGCTGTGTTAGGGCAAAAATTTCCACCAGGAAACTGAGACAAGTTTAGTAATACCTGAGTTTACACAGGTTAATGACAGGCACAGACAAATATTGTACCAGGTGAATGATCAGTATATCCATACAGAATACATTTTTATGTAATGCCCAGTTGTTAAGAACATGTCCAAGCTCCCAGCAAAAGCAAACTGACCTGCTTTTTTATTTACACTTTGATTGATCTAGTGACTCAGGACCACATGAATACCTTATTTACTGAGTTGATAAGGACTAGTTAAATAGTCAATTAAGCAACTGACCTGTATTTCTTCTATAAAATACTGAAGGCTGTAAAGAACACAATTGTGGCCTTGGGCAAAAGAAGGCTTAATTTAGCTACTTTTACATGGGGAAGGGACACGAAATACCATTTTCATCCATGTTTGAAGAGGACAACAGGTGCTATGTGATGTTTGCACAGAAAAGTTATAAACCGATATCTTGTTTCTGCATATTACAATGAAATAGTTATCATGCATCGATCTTTCACCTGCTGTAACACACACTTAATGTTTACTCAACATTACTAAGATACCAAATCTAACATTTTGTACATTAAAACTAAAACAAAACTATCTTACAAACTTCCAATTGTCATCATTAACTGTCAAACTAGTTAGGAAAGCTAACAAGCTAACATTATTCACATCACAATCAGGCAGAACACTGGTGCGGCATAGATCACTTTTTCTGATAAAGTTAACCGATTAACATAGATAGAAGTTTGCACATTAAAAAATGACCTCCAACCGCTTGTATATCAATGACACACTGTTAACTAACTTATCATGCTAACAGCTAACTAGTATTGTTTTTGGATAGATGAATGTAACCTAAAATGTAGCTTATGAAGCAGATTCTTCAACCAAACTATACTGAAGTTTAAAAAAACAACAACATTTAACAGTGTTTCTGTAACTGTCCGAATATCCAACAAGGCTAACAAGCTAGAATTAATCCGAAATGGAGCTGGATAGCTGACTTTCTGAATAAAATTAAAGGTTTGTGCATTTAAAATTACACTAAGGCTAAATACTTTAATGACCTTCAAGTGATTGTGTATAGACACTGCTAATTATCATGCTAGCAGCTAGCATATTAGTTGGATGGACTAGCTGAATCGAAAAGTATATTGTTTCAGACAATATACACTAAAAATAAAAATTTTGAGTTCCATGAGCTGCTAGCCATAATCATGATAATCCTTAACGTGTAATGAATCTAGAATATATGAAAGTTTCACTTTTTGAATTAAATAATGTGAAAAAATTTACTTTTCAACAACATTAAAAGTTTTTGAGATGCACCAGTGTCGTCATTGTCTTCACTTTAAGGAAACCATCTGATCTATTCACCACTATTTCTTTCCTCAGGCTACCACCATGCTTTTTATCTGTGCTCCAGATGGACAAAACAGGACGTTCATGTTCCAGACAATGAAGAGAAACAACGCCGACGATTCGCTCACTCCAACAGAGATGGTGAGGCCTCGTATTCACTTATATATTCCTCTATCACTATAGAGGAATAAAACTGTAAGGAAATGTTTATGGTATATGAAAGAAAGCATGTAAACATATAATACATGCAGTTAAGAGTACTTAAAGATGATTAAGGCATGATTTATGTTAATTGTGATTATTTTCTATTGTTTCAATCAATTCATTCTAATTAAACCTGCAAAGACTTAATTTAAGACACAGATGATGACAAAGCAAAAGCAACATAAAATATCTTAATAAGGTTTTTTGGATTGATGAGCACAATTCTTCCAAAAGATATTGCTTATGGTATACATTTTATTTGAATAGCACCTTTCATACACAAAATGCAACTCAAAGTGCTTTACTAGCAAGTAATTTACATGCAAGACAAAAAGAATGCCATTCAATAAATATTTAACGGAAACCTTTTAGTTGCTCAGTTAGAAGCTTTGTTGTCCACAATGTGGAAACAATGTATTTGGCTACAGCACACAGCCGTAAAAACAACAAAAGATAAGAACAGACATTGAAAACAGAATTAACACACAACATGGTCTTAAAAGACATTAATACAGTAATTTTCAAAAACAAGGGAAAAAAAGTCAGTCAAAGTCACTTTGTCCTTTTGTGTTCATGTTTTTGTCATATGCCATACATATAAGTTTACATTTTCAACTGCAATATCAAGCAACAATAATGATGCTTTGAGTGAACAAAAACACTTCAGATCTTTATCAGGTAAGTTTCAGGTACCTATGTTGTTTTTCTCTACTTACTGAAATGAGTAGTAACTAAGGCTGCCCGGGGCATGCTCAGAATGTGTGCTAGTGTCCTTTGTGTAAAACTGGTTGTAATGTAAAGTATACACAGTTTGTAGGTAATAGGTTAAACATACAAAACTGAAGAAAACAAACACTACAAATGGTTCTTAATGTCCTCAAAGACAGCAGTCACAGTATTGGACCATAACTGACCCACATCACAAATTTCTCTAATTCATTTGAGGCAAAATGTTTTGTTTTGTGTACGATTTAAAATTGTTTCTTGTGTGTAAATGTATGTTGAATCTTTTAGCAAAATGTTGCTGTATTTTCTTTTTATTTCACAGTATCCATATCTTTCTTTGTCACATTACCTTTTTAGAATGTGACAAACATTCGAGGCACAGTGATTGGCAATGTGATCCAGTGCAAGTTCACTGTCCCTAATATGAATGCTACCACCTACTCCATCCTCCTCGGGACAGGACATTTAGATGGAAGTAAGTGGACGAACATCAACACTGTACATAATTTTGCTTTTGTTCACAACATGATTTCCCTGTAGAAATTTTTTTTTGAAGTTACACAGTATTTGTTGTTACTGAACATGTTATTGAACAACTCCATGTTATTACATAAGGTTTAAATTTAATGGACAAATAAAGGAAAATAAAAATCAACCAATAATATCGTCACAGGTTTTCAAGAAAAAGTTCACCTATTAGATAAGTTCGCACATTTAAAATTGCACTTAGGTTCTTTAAAATGACCTCCAAATGTATTGGGATGGAGGCTAGCAAGATATAGCAACTACCCTCAGATGCTAAATGAATTTGAATTAACGTGAAATGTGTTTGAGACCATATACACGCAAGTAAAAATTCAAAAACTTAGTTTAACACTTAAAACCCACCCCGTTTTCAGGGATGGTCTGTATAGATTAAAACTAACAAACTCTAGATGACTTAAGAAACCTGGATCTGATTTCAAGCTTTGCAAACCTTTCTCCCCTAGAGATATGGAAATTTACTGCTTTGTATTTTGAATTTATGTGATTTTAAGCTCATCCACAAAGCTGTCAACGAGGACATGTCTAACCTCCCACTGCTCTGTCCCCTCATGCAATTGTTCAGAAACTTTTGGGCACTTCAACATCTCCCTGGACAGTGGTGCTCTGAACCTCACCAACCCGGTCAGAAACACTGCTGACCCCCACTCCACTGCAACCGCTAACCCAGGCTCCACTATAACCACCGACCCCCACTCCACTGCAACCACCCACTCAGGCTCCACTGCAACCACCCACTCAGGCTCCACTGCAACCGCTGACCCCCACTCCACTGCAACCACCAACCCCCACTCCAATGCAACCACCAACCCCCACTCCAATGCAACCACCCACGCAGGCTCCACTATAACCACCAACCCCCACTCCAATGCAACCACCCACGCAGGCGCCAGTGGCGCTGTCCACGCTCTTGGTAAGCGACACACTAGTGTTATATTTTTGCACTTTAATTTTAGGTCTTCAGATGCTCTAAGTCCAGAGGGATTTGATGTCCTGACTTAACACCTTTGAAGGCAATCTGTATGTAAAGAACTGCAGTATAACAATACATTTAGTATGCAGATACGCACACCAGCAATTTCACTAGTTGATAAAATCAGGTAGATGAATTAACCTAACCGCCTGCGTTTCCATGAGTTGTTTGATAGATAAGTTCATGCTGAGAAAGATGTGTGGAAGCCTGCAAGAAAAATTCTTAGCGCCATAAAGAGTTAAGGAGGAAACAGTATTTTATTGATATGCAATTGTAAATTCAGTTCCTGGGTAAAAAAAAAAAAAGTCAGCTGAAAATTGGCAGATCAATCTCACCTCAGGGTACACTGATTAAATGTTCTGGAGCTTTCGATCACATGAGATAATCATCAGCAGATGAAATTTGTCCAATTGTCAAGGAAATCAATGTGATCTAAAGCTCCGGAGCAGCTGCTAAATGGATATCAACTGCTGTTGCCACGGTCAAGACTGAACTTTCTCTACTGGCAAACAAAAAAAATTCAACATAGAAAGAATAAAGTTTCCAAGGATACATGAGCAATTAATGAATATTTAGAAAATGGAGCAGTTCTTTCACAAGATCCCTTTGGAAATTATGTTTCTTAACTCAATTTAACTTGGTATTCCCTGTAGTTACTGCCAAATTAAATGGCTTTTTTTTACCAGGAAATGGACAGACGATATTTTAAGAATGACAAAATACAGATACAGAGATGGAAAATAAAGCACATTTTTCAAAAAACTACTTTGAATGCTGGTTTATTCTATGACCACTTGGACAAACACGTAAATGTTACAAAATATTCATGACTAAACTGTGTCAGATCACTTCGTTTTCTTTGTTATCTGCAACATGTTACACTGTAGGGGGATTAAAATGAATCTCTTAAAGGGTCGGTTCACCCAAATTACAAAAACTCTTACCTCTAGTGGCAGTCATGCAGACTGTTCTGGTTGTATTTCTTTAGGTATTAAAATATCTGTCAAATTCTGCCTCACAAAAGTGAGTACACCCCTAAGTGAAAATGTCTATATTGGGCCCAATTAGCCATTTTCCCTCCCTGGTGTCAGGTGTGTTAAATTTGGTGTCATCGCTCTCACACTCCTTCATACTGGTCAGTGGAAGTTCAACATGGCACCTCACGGCAAAGAACTCAGAGGATCTGAAAAAAAGAACGGCTGCTCTATATAAAGATGGCCTAGGCTATAAGAAGATTGCCAAGACCCTGAAACTGAGCTGCAGCACGGTGGCCAAGACCATGCAGCGGTTCAACAAGACCGGTTCCACTCAGTACAGGCCTCACCATGGTCGACCAAAGAAGTTGAGTGCACGTGCTCAGCGTCAAATCCAGAGGTTGTCTTTGGGAAATCGAAGTATGAGTACTGCCAGCACTGCTGCAGAGGTCGAAGGGGTGGGGTTCAGCCTGTCAGTGCTCAGACCATACACCGCACACTGCATCAAACTGGTCGTCGCACAAAGACAGCAAATTTACACTGTTATACAAGCTGTACAGTCAAAGTGTCATTTCTTCAGTGTTGTCACATGAAAAGATAATCAAATATTTACAAAAATGTGAGCAAATACTGTATCTGGATTCCACTGAGAAAAATACAACAACTTTGAAATTGGGGAGATCTGTTACAAAGCCATCACTGCCCACTGAGTTACCATGTCATTAAAGACCTAACAGAAGAGGAAGAGCTTAATGGACACGCATTTTCTGATAAAACACCTTTTGTCTCTTTCCCGACAGATGTGCTGCTCCTGCTGAGCGTCGTCACGCTGTCCATGCTGGGAGCCTGAAGTGTCCAGGCGGAAGTTGTGGCCTGTTGGATACAATGAAGACAGCTGATGCACAGGATTTAAGCACAGAGAAAAAGAGTATTACCTGAGTAACAGACTATGTAAAAATCATTTTTGCTGAACTTCTTTAGACGTGTACGTTTTGCACTATGATTGTACTTTGAGATGATCTTTCGGCTAAAAACTAATCATATTCATGAGGCATTCGCAGACACGTGTTTATTTTTATTGTCTTGTGCAACATTGACACAAAGCCACCCATCTGGCGCCACAAGCAGTGTTTGCAAATGCAAATTTACACACTTGGGTTTAACGAGTTTGATGTACTTACCAGAAGAGAACAATCCTTTAAGGGAAACCCAACCCAATCAAGGATGTGAGTGTACTGTGACTGTATATATTTGTTGAAGGCACAGCTAAAAAGATTAATCTAATCAGTTATTAATAAAGCCAAAACTATGATTAACTCATTTGTGCCATGTCATTAACAGCTCGTTTTATAGACCAGCTGATGCATTGTTTCAGCTCTACATGACAACACCTGTCAATATCACATCCGTGCAAGTACTTAAAAGACCATCTACAGTAAAAAAAAAGACAAAAAAACACATGCAATAAATCTACAAAATCACCGTAATATCATAGTATAGGAGCTTTATTTACATAAGTTGACTTTAACTCAAGATTTATAATTTTGTACCAACAGTTATGACACTGTACTCAAAATTATTGCAGACAACAACTTTGCTTGTAAACAAGCAAAGATCTAACAATTTATCTGGAGCACCTGAACTAATAGTAATAAATCGTCAATGTTTAACCAGGAGGAGTGTCTGTTAACTATGATAATGTTTACAGACAGCTTGGTTACCGTTGGCTCTTTGTTTCGGTGCCACATAGACTTGACCTGCCTGGGAACCTCGTTACAACCTGTATGGTTGTTGACAGCTCGAGCTTGTTGCTTTGGAGCTTTTTAGTGACGTGTGCAAAACGAGATTACAGTGAACTGTTGGGCAGATCTTCTAAATCTAATGCCAAATTGTTAAAATAAACAGGGGTTTTCCTTTCAGCTCTCGAGCAGAAGGAAGTGTTCTTTTTAGTATTAAAAGCTGAACTGTTTTTTATCTGGAAGAGAAGTGAATAGCAGTTTTTCCCTTCATCTAAAAAAAAATAAAAAAAACACAAATCACTAATGTTTGTGGGGGGGGGCAGAAAAACATAAGGGCACTTTCAAATTTTAATATTTTATTGCAATTTATTCCTTTACAGTTAACTGAATAGTATAAAAAACTGACATTAACATACAGACTTACAAGGTCAAACTCACCGATGAGGAAAACACACTGCATAAAAACGGTCTTTGTAGCTGAATGTTCGTCCTTGCATTAAGACATGTCTGTCGAGCTGTCGTCTCTGACAACATTAACAGTCCCCGTTTCCGCCTTCTCCTGAAGACACGCAACAACGCAGTAAAAACACAAACCGAAATCTACAGCTAGTTTTTCCTGTTACTGTGATACTGGACAACTGGCCAAAAAAACAAAAACAACAACAAAAAAAAACGGCGTTAAAGACAATGGACAACAGTGTGTGCACCATGCTCGAGTGTGCGCACGCGGTCGCTTTATGTATCTACAATATGAGTGTTAAAACAGGAGTCCAAGTTCCTACTGGATAATGTGTACGCTGCATGAGTCACGGGTCGCCCGTGCCTACGAGTCATCTTCACCATTGACACTGTCACCATCGTCATCGCCTTCCACGTGCTCTCCTTCCTCTTCCTCCTCCTCTTCATCCTCCCTCTCTTGACTCTTCACCTGCAGTTGGAAAAAGCCAGTTTGTAAGCGACAGACTGTTGTAGTTTATCCCATTTCATCACTAAAGACTGCTAACGGCTAGTGGGTCAAAATGTTATGTTAAACACTTTAAATACGCAACTGTCAGGCACTGACATCATGAGCCACAGCCGCCCCTGACATATACATATGACACCGCATATCCGTATCACGTGACAAACACCAATGTGTAACCTTTTAAAGCAAACAGTATATTGGCCAGGACAATCAATCCATATTAAATACAGTTGTTGTCAGCATCATAAAATGTGTTCCCGTTCTCAGTTACATTCAGTCATAGCGACACAGTGTCTTTTTACACACAAATAATCCCAATGAGCTGAATGTATCGTGGTGTACAGATTTTGTTTGAAGACAGAACTGATAGTGGATTAAGACTCGGCAGATATCCTGCATTGTTTTATCGTAACTGTAAAAACAAGTCTGTGGATCCCTGGTCAGTGTAAACCTTTTCTTCAGTCTCACCTCTTCCTCCTCCAGCAGGTCTCCCTCCTCTTCCTCGTCGTCATCCTCGTCAGAGTCGTTGATTTCCTGGCTCTCCCGGTCCCTCTTCATCACATCATCCTTCTTGTTGCTTTGGTGCGGAGGTGAAGTCACCTCTCCTGGCTCCGTTTTTATACTCTTAGCTTCTGCCGGACACGAAGGCACATTTAGAAATCATTCATTTTATTAAATGGGCTTAGAAGAAGCACTTAAAGAAATTGTGCATGTTTCGGACCATCTGACTGGATTATACATTTGTGAAACATGATGATGTGACAGAGCTCTTCCTGTGGTGTAGGTTTTAATTTACAACCCATCTAGCCACATTTTCACTTACAGATAAATTACTGTCCTTTCCCCCATTAAAAGTGTGTCCCCACCTACCTGACTTCTTGCTGTGGTCCTTCTCCATGCGCTCCAGGCTGTCCAGCAGGTCATCCACTTTGCTTTTTATTTGGGTCAACTCGCGCTTGATGGTCTGCAGCTCGTCCACTTTCACTGCAGAGGTAATGGAGCGACAAGTGTTAGAAAGACCTCTGCATGAGCAACTTGAGTTAAGAGGAGACAAAGAGCTGTAAATATTGAAAATTCTTAAAAAAAAAAAAAAAGACACGGCACAGTGTTTCAGTGGTTAGCGCTGTTGCCTCACAGCAAGAAGATCGCGGGTTCAAACCCCAGTTTTCTGTGCAGAGTTTGCATGTTCTCCCCATGTCTGCGTGGGTTTTCTCCAGGTGCTCTGGTTTCCCCCACCATCAAAAACATGTTAGGTAGGTTCTCCAGTCAGTGCTGTTTGACCTGGCATGGCATTTCAATCTGGGGTTGGTCCCCGGGCGCTGTACAGTGGCTGAGGATGAATTTTGCTACATGCATGTGACAATACAGTATGTTGTTCTAAATTAATCCTCCACATCCAAACACACAAAGCTCTTAACTGGGATTGGCTAATATAGATTGTGCTCTGGGTCGTGACCATTACCAATAAATCAAACCAGGACTGTAACGAACATTTTCATTATCAAGTGATATATGGAATTCATCATGTTTGAAGTGTCAAAATAGTGAAAAATCTGAACAATTTCCTCGAACCCAAGACAACGTTTTTCAAATTGCGTCTTTTCCTAACAGTCCAAAGATTTCATATACAGAGATGACAAAGACCAGTAACAAATGTTTGCCATTTTGCTTAATTATTTACTTATCACTTATTCGACAGTCAAAATAGTTTGTTAATTTCGATCGGCAATTCGTTCCCACTCTAAATCAACTGTAACTTATTTTGTTTATTTTGTCTAATTACAGAGAGCCAAACATTTTTAATGAAAAACAGGTAAGCAGGAAATTCTTACATTTTAAAAACTAAAAGTTTTGTTTGATAAATGACAATTATCTAAACAAGGATTAAACTTATTTAACTGTTGCACCACTTATTACTTAAAAAAGAAAAATTAAATATTATATAGCTTCGATGGTGTTGGTATACATTTTTCTAGTACCCAGTTCTTGCTGCTACTCTCCCCAATTTCCCAAAAGGGACTGATAATCTTGTATGCAGCCGGGACAGTTACTTGTTCTGGACGAGGAAGTCCTCTGACTGCTCTTGGAGGAAGAGGAGAAGCTGCTCTTGGTTCGCCGGCTGCTTCCTCCGCTCAGGCTGACCCGCGGGCGCTTGGACGGTATCACTGCCCGCGACAAGGGGGGAGGTGGGGCGGGAACACGGGACGGGTACGAGTACATTCTGGTGTCAAATACAGAATACAAATTGTTGACAGACTGTGGGGGGGAATTTTCAGCTGTGAATATGAACAGTTTTATTAGTTGAGCTAAAACCTTTCTTGGAACAAGGTGCGACTTACTCACACACTGGAAGTAAAGAACATGAGTGACTTTAATTGTTAACAAAACACCATTTGCATGCTCAATTTACAGCATTGTTGCAAGGTGCAGACACAGGAAATAGTGATGAGTGTCAGACAAGGTGATTGTCACTCTGTTTCTACCAAAATGAAAGACAAAAGGAAACATTTTACCCACCTGTCGTAATAATCTCTCTGAAAGTCATAGTCAAGGTCAAACGAGGAACTGCTGTTCAGGAAAAGAATGAGAAGAATCTGTTTAAGGAAATATGGAGATACTTTTGTGGTTTCCTTCCTGGCTAGATTTTCCTCACACCACGCTCACTTGTGGTATTTTACAGGTTCGACTGCTGTTTAACAGTTAGTTTACATTTCATTGTGACTGACCTGTACATGTCTCCAGCTGAGCGTTTGGTGGTTTTTGACCGGTGGGGTTTGGGTTCTCCAGCCAGGTTGATGTCTGAGAAAAAGATCAGAGTGAGATGCCAGGGACTTCAGATCCAGTCCCTTTAATGAACAGATTTTGCAAACAGTTTGGCAATTATTTACCTTTAAAAATTGTTTGTTCTCAGCCGATCTTTTAAAAAAAACAAAAACACAAACCCATCTTTGACTCAACATCTCATTTTACTTATGGCGGGGAGGTTTGCACAACACAAACTTGCTTAAAATATTTGACCACTTAAAGTATAAAGCAAACTTTTGTGGGAAAATCATGACACAGTCAAAGCAGATAATTTGTCTTTCTTAAGGACATGTCTGGATCTTTAACCTGGCAGGAGTTCACAACAAAAAGCAAAGATTGTTTAATTAAAATGGTGCACCAGAACTTAATATTTCAGAGCTGCTGCCTTCAAAGCAATTGAAGCGCTTAATTGTGTTTTTATTTTGTAATAATAAATTTTATTTATAATGCACTTTACATTTCAGGGAAATCTCAAAGTGCTAATTTTGTCTATAGACTCTGCATCATTTTCTCCTACTGCAGTGGTACCTTGAGGTCAGAAACCCGCCAAGGGGTCACAAGGTCAATCTTGATTGAGAAAAGGAAAGCTAAACATTATATTAAACCCATTTCTGCAAGTATGTTCTCTTTTTCCTCTTCAGACTAAGACGGACAAATGCCTCTTAAAAGTTGTCACAAGGTCAGGAATCGCTCTCCTACAGGAACCTGCTGAATAGGTGAGTTTTACCAAGGTTGTGTCTAATATTAAAAGTACAGTCCTGAGGGTAACTGACAGAGAGGACAACTGTAATCAAAACAGACTTTGATGTAAAAATCATCTTTAAGTGACCCTTCCTTATTCCAGAAAGTAAAAAAAACTGAATCGTTACCGAGTACTTGTCCGACAATCATCCTCCCATCCTCCCCGTTGACAGCAGCTCGGGCGTTCCTCTCGTTGGCGAACTGAACAAAGGCGTAGCCCTTGTGGACAGAGCAGCCTACGATCTTGCCATATTTGGAGAAGATGGCCTCGACGTCTCCCTTGGTGACCAGCAGGGTGTTGAGGTTGCCGATGAAGACCCGAGAGTTGAGGGAGCGTGGGTCGGTCTTGTTGGTGACGTTGCTGGCGGCCATCAGGCTGGAGGTGGTGGGTGAACGACTAGCAGGAAGACACACACAGACAAGTCCCAGATTTAGTAGCAGAATGAGTTAGTCACCCACCCCTCTGAGCTACTCCCGCTGTCGTTGGGTCAAATACTGGCGAGTCCCCAGCTGTGGTGACTGCAAATCAGGACACCAGAGTACCCAATCAACAGGGCTTCCCTGGGAAATTTTTTAAAAAAAGGTTTAAATTTAAAATAAATAGACATATGACGAGTTATGGGTTGAAGTGAGGCAATTTATGCCATTTGTATCAACAGGAGACACGCCCAAACCAGTCCTAAATTTGAGGCTTTGAAATTACTGAGGAATTGTCATCAGCCTCTCCACATAGTTTACAAGCTGCAAGGTGACCTGCATAATACTATTCCCTTCTTATTCAATGGCCACCAACTCCCTCACAGTCTAAAAATAATCATGTTAACATTCATTTCTCATTTGGCACCACATGCTTGCACAAATCCAAGCAAAATTCCAATTAGATTACAGACTGCGCTGCCACATTTAGTTGTAACAAACACATACTGACTAGGAAGTATGTGGGGACTAAAATGACCCTTGCACACCGAATTATGAATTTGAGATGCTGCATTTACTAGAGCTGAGATAGGTATTAGTGTCATACAAACCTAAAGTCAAAAGGTTATTAGTGTATTTGATTTATAGACCAGTATCTAAAGTGTGGCGCTGCTGTTATCAAAGGAACACTACAGAGCAGGGGCTTTCCTCCCCTTCCATTCACTGAGCCTCCCCCCCTGTGAGGCCCGCCTCCCACTTTGAAAACTTCTATAAACCTAAACTATTTGTTTCATATACTGCAAAATGTGAAATATAGTATCACTATGTTAAACAGCTTAATTTAAAAACATCTGAATAACTGGATTCCAGGATGCTACTGAACATTATATTCAGACTTTGAAATGGACTATACAACACACAAATCTTGTTAGAACAAGACACCAGAAGTGTCACTGTATTAAACCCAACAAAATTTTGGGACTTGATAAGAAATCCCTTGTTGCAAATCTGTTTGGGGGGGGAAAAAAAAAAAAAAAAAAAAAAAAATAGATAGATAGATAGATAGATAGATGGATAGATAGATAGATAGAGTAAAAACTTTGTCAAAGCTAATAAGCACCACAGGATGTTAAATTTTAACTGACAAAAAGTCATACCCTTTCAAAGCCACCAATTTGTTTTGAATTGGTTGCCTCTCCCCCCTCTGGTGCCGTGAAGCTGACCAGTCCTACTCCCAAAATCCAATAAACGCAGTATATTACAATTATTCTAATAGACACAAGATAAGGTGTGAGGACTGAGTGAAGCCGAGAGCCCTGTATGAAGTTGGAGATGGGAAGCAAGGCCTCATACAGCAAACATCAAAACAGTAGTGACATCAGTCACCCCCACCCCACCCCCAGCTGACAGGGGGTCGTCGAACATTCATCACTCACTCCATAGCGTCTGTGTGCAGGGCTGTCGTCTGATGTTTGACACTGTGGGCTGGGATCAGTTTGGGCTGGTGTCTTGACCTTCACCTTCGCCCCTCGCGATTTATACTGAGGTGACAGAAAACACACCTCAGTCAAGCTGAGCAGGGTTATCTTGTACCAAGTCTTACCTGATTGGAGTGTGTGTTCAAGTGTCAGTGACGAGGCAAAACACAGTAACATGGCTATTAAATATATAAATAAATTTAAAAAAAAGTGTGCCTCCAAGAAAATCTCCTTATAACTAGCCACTTTGGAACTACAACCTGACTCTAATGCATGTTAAAGTGCAACATCTAATGTTATCAAACATATGTTGTGGGGGGGAAAAAAACCCCCACAACATTGTACACAAGTTTAGAGAAGCAAATCTAACCCTGGGACCCGACACAAAAGTGACAACCATTATGTTCTTATCACTAACTGGACAGGAAAGTGAGTTGGGTAGGCACCCAGTTGGTCCACATGTGCTTATGTTTGTGTAGCCCTTATGAAACACACCAAACATGGTTCTATATAAGCAGTGTAGGTGAAGCCCTTTTGGAGAGGAATGTCAGCAGAGGGTCAACTTGAACCACAAGCCTTCTCACAAGGTTAAGTGCATAAACAAACTGTATAAAACCCTCTCATTTTATATTGCTAAAGCTACACAAAAAACACAAACAGTGTGAACCTATAAAAAGGCATTTTCATTTTGAGATCAAATTGCAAGTAAAAGTTGAAAAATCTATCAACTGTGTGGGTTTTTATTTTTTAGCCAAGCTATAATTTAGTGTAAATGTGGGAATTCCCATCTATTTCAGACTCCTTGAACATGCAGGTTAGGAACTACTGACTTCTAATATCTAGATATAGTATATGACAATTAGGCAAATATGATTTTCAATAATATTAACCCCATAAAAATGCTAGAGGTCAATTACCCCATCTTAAAATTACTTTATACAGGATCTTATAGAACTACTCTTTAATGTCCTGTAAGTGCAATACTCCAGTGATGCGTTTTGAATTTTAGTCATTTCCACTGAATGTTAACGTTGGCTTCAGTCTAATTAAATTACTAAGTGGGGCTTATGGGTGTACCTGCGCCCTAGGAGTGAACGTGAATGCGAGAGTTCATTATGATACACATAAACAGCCATAATACTCTTAGATTGATAGATGTTTTTAATCAACGTGTATTTGTAACGTTATGTAACAAAACTGAGGCCATTGACAGTCCAAAGCATCCAAAATCTGAAAAATCCCTCTTCATCACGGGAGGAAAAACACTGGAAAAAGCTACTCCACAAAAAAAAAAAAAAAAAAAAAAGCGAACTGTGCAGTATGTAGCCAGAAAACCAAAGACAAGGGATTATCAAAAATTTCCTAAACCATCCACAACACACTGACTGGAACACTGACAGCACCACCACCAGGCTTTAGTGTGAAACACAGCAGGCCCAGCGTCAGCCTCGGTGGCTGAAAGTCGGCTAGCATGGCTAACGTTAGCCTACCATCAATTGAAAAGCACAAAAAATACACAGACATCAGACCAGTTCCTCTGCTTGCAAAAACCAAAACCTGCAAAATTCTGATAAATCTGTAGTCGACAATCTGTAATCAATCATGGATGAGAACGAAGCTGCGACTATAAAACCAGAGTAGCCTCTGACGCTGTTAGCTAGCGCTAGCTTAGCTGGTGGGCTGGGTGAGGTGCGTGCCAAAAACAAATCAGTCCCGTCAAGGAAAAGTCTTCACAATAAACGCTACAAAAACTACACAAACTTGCAAAAAAGGGATGAAACTGTAGCTAAGGTGCCTCCAGTGCGTCCTGTTTCTAAAAACCACAACAAGCGTTCGCGTTTCTGTGAGGGGGATGAGCGTCTTCAAGTTAGCTAAGCTAGCTACCTCGCTAGCCGGCACATTACGTTCTGTCCACTCGCAAAATAGAAAAAGCATCGTTGAAAAAAATCCAAAAACAAAAGAAAAAGGAAGGAAAAATGAAAAATGTCTGGAACAAAATACTCACCACGACCTTTACCAGTAAAATGTCTTGCTTTCGGTAAAATCTGTCAAATTGCTACTTGGGTCGTCCCTTTTGAGCACAAGCGATTAGCCCCCCGAGCAGCGAGCTAACGTAACGAGATGGCGCAGTCGTGGACAGAGGTGCTGGGTTTGTGTCACAGCGCAGCCTGAAGGAGCGGGGTGAGTAACTGCGCTAACAAAAAAGGAACACTAAACCCCGGTGTGACCTGCTGCCTAAAACGTACTCACCTGCAGTCTCTTTAAAATCGGTGCGTCCTGCCTCCCATCTAAAGCCTTTAAATCTCTTTGCTTTGTTTGCCTTTAAACAAACAAACACTGGTAAACAAACCAACGACTATATGAGTGACAATAGTAAATAATGTCAATCTTAGGTCACAAACACGTTTTATTTCATGGTTCTTCTGGCAGGAAAGAAAGTGACTCATTCCTACTGTTATTCTGTATGGAACCTGTATTTGTCTTTACACATCGGCCCTTTAAATACCTCGTGCTTCGCGAAATGAAGGTTATTATCACGAAGGAACTACTTAAGTGAGATTGATGCCAAAACACATTTTGTTTGCGGTTTTGTGATTGATGCATGTGTCCTTTTGTTGTGAAAATTAACACATCAAAGTGATCAGACCTTTAAAAAAACACCTGTCTGTAACTAATTATCAATCAAATGATGGGAGTCACATTTTCAGCTGTGGTTAATTAGGACCCTTTTTTCCGCACCATATAAAATACATGTATCTTTTCTGGAAGTCTTTATTTTAACTTGAGTTATATGGAGAGAATAAACTATCTTTATAAACATAGAGGCTGTGTGAATTTTAAAGGAAACAAACAGGCACACCAGAGACCAATGGCATGTAACTAAATACTGTACTTATGGACATATTTGAGGTACCTCATTTTTATATTGCCATTGTATGCAACATTAAACTTACTATTTCACTAGCCTCAGAGACAAATATTGCACTTTTTACTCCACTTAATTTGTCTGACAGTTTAAGCAACTACTGAGCTCCAAATTTGTTGATTAAAAAAAAACTCCAGATAATGAGGTGTTTGTTTTGTAAAACACTATTATGCTTTATTCATCTCCAAGGAACATGTTTGTTTCAAAAATGCTACAGGGCTACAAGTTATGATTATTTTCTTTATCAATAAATCTGGCAGTTGTTGTTTGGCCTATGAAATGTCAGAAATGACAATGATTGCCCATCACAACTTTCAAGATCTCAAGTAGAGATATTGAAATATTTTGTTTTCACTGTACAACAGCTCAACAAAAGATGTTCCATTAATCAAAGAACACAAGAAACAGCAAATATTCACATTTTAGAAGCTGTAAATAAAAATAAAAAAGATTTAATCAATCAACAGAAAATAAATCTGCAACAGTTTTTATACCTGAATAATCATTACAAGTTATTTATTACCAGTAAAGTCATACTAGAACAATGAAAGGCAATGCATGAATGAAAGTGCATGTTCTTGTTACCATGTTATGAATAATAAACAGTTAAAAACTGTAAGAAATCTGTTACTATATGACCACATCAGAGTTTAATCCTATCTTCCTTCACATCCATTGTTCTTTATTTTTTGCCAGTATGGACATGACATAGTCCATAAATTGCATTTATAAAGGTATTAAATTTAACTTGTTGAAACATGTAGACACCATGTGGGAGGGAGCGAGCAGAATTTGGGGGTGTAGTTACACTTTAAATACTACTTCTGGAAAGCAAGAACACAGCAGAGTATTAGTGTATTAACACAGCCAGCCAGGAGGTGGCACTGCTGTTATATAAATAAATGAATGATGACATTGGACAAGTCATTTTGACTGAGGATAAAAACTTGTAATAGGACTATTTAATTACCCTACACAAAATCTCATGTGGAGCCAATCCCAGCTGACATTGGGCGAAAGGCGGGGTACACCCTGGACAGGTCGGTCTAATGAGACAGAATAACACCTGTGTGGGTGTGCGGGACCTAATGCCAATGAGTTGTCACTTTTGTCACACAAGCTGATTAACTTGACTTTTAAATAAACCAATCTTAAAACACAGCAAGTAACACATTTGAGAACTTCTGCAACAAATCTGGTAAATGTAGCAGTAAAACTACCTTCTGTGTGCACACACAGGAAATAATGAGCAAAGAGGCAACAGCTGTGAAGGGCAGGTGGCTAATGAGAAAGTCGGGTGATCCACAGAGGCATGAAAGCTCATCGAATGTACAGACCTTTTATTTTTTTATTTTTAGGAAAGCACAGGTGTAACTAATAATACAAATTGTTACCTTTTAACACCTCATTGTAATGCATGTCATTAGTTTATGTTATAAATTACATCTGTGTTCTTCCTGTTCCAACCTGTTTGACTTAGAAGGAATACTCAGATGTTTTAATTAATTTTAATAGTTTTGTACTTTTACTAATAGATGACTTTTACTTGTAACAGAGTATTTCTACATGGTGATATTGCTACCTTTCCTTAAAATACCCTTAAAGTACTAAAAAAAGTACTCATACAGAAAAGTACAATATATTCCTCTGAATTATAGTGGAGTAGAAGTAGAAAGAATCATAAATTTAGTATTTCACAATAAAATTGCCAAGATTTGAAAAATAATTTGTCTATCAGAAACACGTGTTTTCTTTCTTATTTCTTCGATTGTTGATAATATTGTGACCCCTCTGATTCAGGATGGGAACCACAGTCTTATAATAAAGTCAAAATGTTTGGAAATATTAGACAAAAAGTCGATAAAACGTTTATTGTTATTATTTTTGGGATGGAGCCCATGCAAAACGTGGGAATCATTTTAGTCTTTGAATTGGTCTCATTTGCATCATCAACATGTCATTTCCAGTGACATGTTTGGAGTTTATTTGATTAAATGAGATGGGCTACAAAACCTTAAAGCACTGCTATGCTTCTCACTGTACCAAAAGCCTTTTTTTCATGGAAGACAGTTTTGCAGGTCACAGAAGGAAAAGCACAGGTGTAAATAACAAAATTAATGATGCCTGAATTCAAATTATGCTGGCTCACTGTGATGACTTATTGGGACATGAGAAAGGAACAGAGACATCGTCATTAGTAATATGTGCTTTTCCTGAAATGACAAGTCAAAATGTTTGCTGTGAAAAAAAATCTGAATAATTTTATTGCACCTGAGGAGGAAGAGAGACACAAAGAGAAAGGATGGCCAGCAAAAGAGACCAATAACAGCTGTTTTCTGTATCTAGTTAGCAGATTAAACCCCGACAATCTCCCAATTTTTCATGGAGAATATGTTCTTTTGTGAATTGTTTTCACCCATCTGGTTTTGTTTTCAGCACCGTCCCAGAGGACTTGTTTACAGCTCTGTGCATCATCTCGGGAATCAGAAATACAACTCCGGCTTACAGTTTCTCTGTGTAATCAGATATACAGATAAAAAGGGTTCTCTGCTTGTTTACCTCCTTTGTGTATTTACGTCAATCTTAACAGTGCGGGGAAGGCCCAGATGTTTGACAGGCTGTCGCACAATGTGTCTAAGTTTTGATGTGATTGGTACAAATGTGGGAGGGAGCACTTTCTGAATGTGATGAGGGTAATATTTAGTAGTCCTTTTTACCCCAGTGTATGTTAAACAGAGAGATTACAAAGACTTCATAGGAAATTCTGTAAGCCACAACCAGAATATGGTCAGTATGAGGTCAATACTGAACACCACAGACACACAAAATTACAGGGATACAAGGATAAAAGAATATTAGGTACAAAAAGACCTATGTGAACTCACTATCAGTACAAAAGACACTGTCAGTTATTATATATGACTATTAGTGAACCATACCTTTATTTTATTATGTTGATTTGATGCCTGTAGTGTTTTTGTATACATTTTTAGCATGGGCACTTCAACCACAAACCTTTGATTGATGACCGACTTACTCTTCCATCTGACTTACACACATGCTGCAATATAACCTTTTTTATATTTTTAATCAAGGACAACCTAAAAGTTACTGTGACGCTGTTAAAAAGGTATCAAGTATCATGTAGATCACTGTAGATAGAATACCCATAATGGGTTTTTATAAGAAGATTATAATGATAATAGAAGGTCAAAGTGAGAGTTTTGAGCTGCCTGGACACACAGTGATGTCGGTGTGGAATTAGTATTGCATTATCCTTCTATAGCATTTGGGACAATGTTCAGCGGGGTCCTTCATAGTATTGTAAATAACTTTATAAAAGTTACACTTAACTAATTATTGAGCATGAGTCTCTATTAGAGCAATGATGAAGATTAAAACACATCAAAAAGGTCACTAATCACTGAGTGTCACAAGCATTTAAAATCTGTCTCTAAAAAGTCACCATTAATCTGTAACTAATGGATTTATTAATGGTTGAAGTCCCCCTCCACCCAATAATGTGTTTTGCTCATTGTTTCTTGGATATTTGAGCCTCACTGTGCAGAATGATGCAATTGCCGAGTCTGACACCAGAAGGCTGTCAAGTTTTTCTGCGCTCACCTTAAATCTGAGTTTAACATGTGCGTACGAGCATGAATTTAAAACATCACAACTTAGAGGTTGTTGTAGACCAATATGCAACTGACAGTGTGATATGGAAACTTGAAACTAAATGGACTTTTCAGCAAAGTAGAAGACATCTTGTGTCCAGCTGTTAAAGTACATATTCATATGCATGCCATGAAGTAGGCCTAATTTAACTTTTGTTCTGGAAACAGACATATCAGACCCACAATTATTGCAGAACAGTATGTCTATATGTCTGACTATATGTGTCTGATGGGGATCTTAATAAATCAATTATTGATGCTTTATTGAGAAGTTATATGCAATAATAAAAAAAACATTTGGGTTGCCAGGTTGTGATAAAACTCAAGAGTTAAAAAAAAAACTTTTTACACTTTTCCACTAAATTGCAGTTAGTACATTATTAATTAAAGGTAATAAACCATTACATTTGTACATTACTAAGCCATGCATCCATCCATCATCTACGCTTATCCCACTTATGCAGGGTTGCAGGATTTATGGTTATACATTTTATTATTGGTCAAAGGTGGAAAGGGCAAACAAGTCAACAGCAAATGTTAGCAATAGAAGGTTTAATTATCCTAATTTGTGGTCCTGAATGTTAATAGTTGTGTGAGTACAATGAACAGATGTTGATGCCCTGCAGCTGCTTTCCAGACAGTCAGATGTCAAACTGTAGTTTACAGGCGAAACTAAAGCGCTTAAATGACAAAATAAGTGTGACATGGGAGGAGAACAAACACTGGCCAAAACCTGGCAACACATAAGTTTTTCTTAAAATTATAATTATTATAAATTATTTACTAACCTTTAGGAAAGTGCTTACAACCTATAAATCATTTATTAAAATTGACTTATTGGAAAAGTATTATTGGTATATTAATAGAAAATATCACAGTGGCCACAGGTGATCCCAGTAAGTAGGGATGAGGTCATCATAAAAGAGTCCCTGTAGGAACAACAGATTAAATACGTCATATGTAATTCGTTAGGTACAACACACACTTTCATTAAGTCACTCTAATTATCTGCATCGCATCTTGATTAAGACAAAAAAAGAAAAGTGCATGTGCGTGCATGTGCGCGCGCAGCACAGCAGATGCAGACAGGCGGTGCAGAAAGCGCTGCAGTGACAGTGGGGAAGCACAACCCGCTTGCAGGCAGCGCGAGGCAAAGACCTACCAACACGCTGTGAACTGGACACAAAGCGGTAAGAGCGACGCTCCTAATGTCCCATTACTTTCCTTTTAACGCGTTTTAATTGTCTAAACTTGTAGTAACAGTGTTGTCATGGAGACGTATTGTAAAAGTAAAGACGGTACCACGTGATTTATGTTGTGTTTTAGATGTGTAAGATTGTAGAAAAAGTTTTAATGCGCTTTAAGTGTTTTTAGTGTTAAGTTGGATCATTTCTTTTTTTTCTTTTGACAATGAGCATGATGGAAGAAATGAACAAGTATTAAGATGTATACATCATCATAAATGTTAACAGCTGTCTGTTAGTGTTCAAAGTGACTCCAGCTGAGACATGAACCATTGTTTGGTAGATGCAGGATGTGCAGTAAAACACTAGCTTGTCATGAGTTTATGATAAATGAGGAGAAGTCTCCCATGGTCGGGTCTAATTTTACCTCTCTATCATGGCTTACACAAGAACTTGTTTTGATTGTGCAACACCGATTTGAGGAAGGCAATTAATAGATATGCTGCTCTATACTGTAGTAAACCCTTACCCAAATAGTTCCCTGTGATATTTTCCCCCCTCATATTACTTATGGGACTCTTCCTTTCCACTCCTCTGCAGTCCACTGATTTATGTAACGGAGCTGGAATGAAATGTGCTGCGCAGGGGGTGGAAATCTGGCTTTCTGAAAGTCAAACAGATGAGGAGGCTTGTTTTAATCATTAGTCTCATGGTATCACTGGCATGAAGCTTGTGCTGGGGAATCAGAGTTTCTACTCCTAGGCCTTAGCCAGGGTCCTTGGTGGAGGTGTGTGCAGGGAGTGCTGAATCACAGTTCATTTTATAATTTACCTCATTTAATCTTATATATGTGGCTATTAAATGGGTAATAAACAATAGTTGTACTCTTTTCTTAAAACACAGACTTACCTTAATATGCATTTGGGAGGTTGATCAGGTTGTTGATCAATACCGATGACTCAGCAATAATTTCACCAGATGCACACATTGTTTGTGCAAGTGCTCTGATGGAGCATGATGCTTTAAGCGAGAGAGGGACAGCAGCGGAGCCAAGATTTGTTTCTGCCCAAAAATATTTGTTTTCCCTGGCAGTGTATGTTCACCTCAATTTCACACCAGGGGAAGAAAATAACAAAAGCATTTCAATTTTAGTGGATTGTTTTCCTATGCTGTCTTTTCAAAATCTACAGTTTCAAAATATTTCGGTGAAAGTATGAAGCCCAAAACAGATGATATAGACCTACTTGTCATCTTGTTTAATGCCTCAGTGAATTAAATTTTAAATATTGATGTAACACGTTTGTCCAGCTTGACGGTCGACTCTTGAATCCGCTGCCAATGAGTTAAAACAGTTGGATGACATTTTATGTTGAAAGTTCCTGACCTTGGAAAAAATAATCTTACCTCAAGGTCCACTTACAACCTTTTTCTGGAGCGTTTAACCCCACAATCTTCACCAGTGAATGGAAACTGCTCAGTTGTGACAACTCCAGAAAAGGCTGTTAAGATTATTTTGTCAAATGATCACGATTGAGTATCTGTGTTGGACATGTAATTGAATCATTAACTGCCCATCACCTGTTTCTGTAGGGGTTTTCTGTAGGGGAAGACAAGACACTTGGGATCGCACATAAACATCATCCTTTCCTCAAAAAAAACGTCTATTACAAAGAAATCAGCCCGCCCACAGGCTTTTGTAGGCAACTGTTACATATAACAATCTATTCACATGTTGGGAATAAAAAACAATTAAAAAACGTAAATTGCTAAACATTCTTACATATGGTACCTTTAAAGGAACAATTTGACCTTTTGGGAAATAGGCTTATTTGACTTCTTGCTTAGAGAAAGCTGTATACCACTCTCATATCTGTCTACTAAATATAAAGCTACACACTCAGTAGACTACTAGCTTAGCATTTAGACTGGAAATTGGGGAACAACTAGCCTGGCTCAGTCTAAAGTAAAAACATCTGCCTGCCTACAAATGTGATAATAAATTATCTTTAATGTGTTGCCAGGCATATTTTACTTATGGAGCCAGACTAGCTAACAGATTCCGATCTTTATGCAAATCTAAGCTAAGCTAATCACTTTCTAGTTGTTTGGTAATTTATACTTATAAAAGTGCTACGCTTTTTACCACTACAGACACATTGTTTAATCTGTGCACACACAGAAATGTAAAAATGACCATTTGTAGTGTGTGTTTATTTATGTCAGCATAACATGGCTCCATTTAAAGGAAGAGTTTGACATTTTGGGAAATAGGCATATTACCTCTCTATACTATCAGTCCAGTAAACATAAAGCTACTTATAAATGAGCTTTAATTTGTCGCTAGGCATATTTTTGAACTATGGACAGAGCCAGACTAGCTAACAGTTTACATGTTTCCAGTCTTTATGCAAAACCAAGCTAAGCTAATCATCTCCTGGCTCTAGCTCAACACTTGCACAGATATGACACAGCCTATTACTGTCATTCCCTCTAGTGGCCGTTAGAGGTAATTTAAAGTCATAGCTTACTAATACTTTAATACTCATGTTTGCATTACATAGAACAAGATGACCTAATGTTTTAATTAAGGGTTCAAAGCCACTGAGAAACTCAGATCATATGGGACGTATTAGTGTTAGGCAAGAAACAAATTTGCTTTCTCTTACATAAATATTTGTTACCATGTCTTTGAAAAAACAGCCTGCAGTCTGACTTTGTCACATCCGATCTCTTGCCAGTTTGATCTGCTGTTTTATGACAGCGGTGCCTGTGTTCATAGCATGCTGATGAAATGGTTCGTCACTTGTTTTTCCTCTCCACTGCCCGGTCTCTACATACCTTTCACGGACATTAACAGTGATTGCCCTACAAGCAGAGCTCATTTTGGTTTGGTCCAGAAATATTATTCCTGGCTAGAGGTGCGTGCTCTTTTGCAACACCCAAGGGTGACACAGCTGGGTAATACGACCCGCTGCGAGTATCAGAGGTAAATGTTTCAACATTGTTCCTGGTGTGTATTAACTGCAGGCCAATGTGTTTTAAAATCATGTTTACTTGGGAAATTATTTCAACTCCCAGAACTTCTTCTTAGTACAGTCCAGTGAATTAGGGACAATATAAAAGCTCCAGTTAATACACAGAGGGCAGTTTATCTCTACATGATGATTATGAACTCCAGATTCTTGCTTGGGGTTATTCTCACAATACTTGAATAGAAAACAAATACGTGTGTGTGGGTTTGTGTGTCTGTGTGTGTATCCATCCTCTCTGATTTAAATATGTTTCCATATTTAGTTGCGGGCCCAGTCCTGCGTTTAAAAGAAGTATTAATTGTTGGTAAAAGTATTAGCAGCAAAATGTTAGAGTGAATGTAAATGTAGTTTAGAAAATATTAAAATGTAGTAGAGTAGAAGCACAAAGTTGCACTGGAGATTTAAAGCAGTTTTTCTGGCCACTTGGGGACAGTGGAACAAGCTGAAAACACAATATCTGACATAGTATCACCTTATAAAGTTGCACATCCAGCAGATATGGAGCTAAGTTATTAACAGATTAACACATTAATTTAGAGTCGTGTTTCTGGCCACCAGATTAATCCAATAATCACTCTCCTTTTAGTTTTACTTCTAAGAGAAATATCTGGGTTTTAAGCTGCTAAATTCTCCACTATGTTCAGCAGCTAGTTACTTACTATGTCTCTCTTTTTTCCGGTGCTGAGCAGGTAGCCTACAGTTGGTTGGAAGTTGGGTTTATGGGAGCGGTGAGATTGAATCAAAATAGTAAAGTTGTGGGACGCACAAACAAAACAGTGATTTGAAATAGACTAAAACACTTCGTACAGCTGAGCGGAGCTTCCTGTTGGATTTGACACATTGTCATTTCATTCAATTTTGATATACAAAACAAATTAGCACAGCTTTAAGAAAGACAGTTTGACAACCTCTTGATCTTATGAAGCTCTGTTGTTCTTGAAAAATTTACATTTTGAAGATGAAGACTCAAGGCTTTTATAAAGGATAACAAAATAAAGTTAATTAGTTAAGTTCCCATGTGGGAGGTTGGAGTTGCAGCAGCAGCAAGAGAGAAGAGAGTTTGATTAAATACAGCAGCAATGAACACTATTTTACCATACATTATTGGTAAATAAACTCAGCAACAAAGAGGATTAGTCCTACAAAATGAGAATGTTATTATGTCTAATTAAAAGTATGTCTTACAGCCAGTAGCAACATAATGTACTGTTTTTACATGAGTTAGTGTTGGGACGCATACACTTAAGAGGACCATACTCGTGTAGAGGGAGTTGTTGCAATAAAGTTAAAATATTATTACTGGGATCCACCTAAACATAACATACAAGCATAGCAAATATAGCAGTTAAATTAAAGAGATCTGTCAAGATTAATGATGAACCACAGAATCGGTGGAGCAGACATACACACAACTTTTCTCGTTTCATCTGCTCCTAGAGGAAAACGAATTTACATTTCAAAGTTTTTAAAAAAAACTAAAAGAGAAGTGTTTCAAAGGATTGCTGCTGGAAACACAGGGAGAATCTTTTAATATGTACTAAAATGTGAGCTTTCTGTGATGCTCTGAAAGAAAAGTGTTGTTTTGGCAGGAATACATGTTGTAAAGTTACGATTCTAACAAAGAACAAATGTATGTTTATAGTATTAATTCATTTTTTAGCAATTTATTATTCTTTTTTGTTTTTTTGTACTTACCATACTTTCTCGGCTGTTTCACCTCCACTACAGTCCCAAATGTACTTGTCCTTTGGAGAAAGCTGTCTGGCACAACAATCTGAACCTCGTATATGCAGCCTCAGTGGGGCCCCTTCCCCTTTTTATATGTTCATTGTGTAACTGTACAAATAACTGCATCAACAAGGAAACATACATACATCTGTAGTGATTATTAGGTTAACCAGCAGAGATGAAGAACGTTTTCTTCTAACACATTGTAATTATGTTTTAGAGCATTATTTCAGCCACAGTTTAGGG